GAGAGGGAGAGACCATGCTCCGAAACCCGAGAGGCACTCATCTCCTGCTGTTGTTCGTTCCTCCTCTCAATCCCTGAAAAGACCCCTTTCTCCCATCTTCTCAACCCCGAAAATCAACCCCATCCGCCTATTCGTCCTCCTGTCCCATGCTTTATTATCGGGTGCAGGGGTAATGATGAGACTGCTTATTATTTTAGATCTCAGTTCCTTTCATTATGTCATTGTTAGATCATGACTGTTAAACTAAATCCTTCGTTGTATTGTTTCTCCTTTGCTCTCCATGCAGGGTCTTTGTTAGAGGCAGGGAGGGGAGCAATGACAATAAGTCGCCGTCTGAATATATCCGGAAGAATCATCATATGTTGTTACGATTCCATAATAGGTGTTGTAGAACCCTACGTCATATGATGGTTTTTCTGGGCTACATTGACGCGTACTTGTTGATCATGCTCCGAAAATATATACAAGAGGGGAAAGTTGCCATATGTATAGTATAAAAGTGGGAGGAGGGAAAGTACAGCTTTTTGTTTTTCAAGATTTGTACTTTTAGTGTTTGAGATCTTAATAATATATCGGTGAGGGATCTTTCACTCAATAAAAATACTGTAGTTTATTTCTTGATTACTGCCTCCATTTTCAGAAGTCCTCTGTCGGCGCATGCTCTTGTCATTTCACGCCCAAATTACATTTCATAATTTTAGTAGCCAAAATTAAGTAACTTTATAAACAAGTAAAAAATCCGATTTAATAATTCAATAAAAAAAACGAGTGAGAAAAATAATTTAACTGAAATGTTGTACATGATTTATTTAGGGAGCAACATCCATATCGAATTCAATCAAATCCATCCGAACTAAATAAAACGACACCGTAGAAGGCAGTAGTCTTCTTATAAACCAAAGAGACACAATGACACATAAATAAAACGACACACAATTAAAACGACACCGCAGACGGCAACAGTCTTCTTATAATTCAAACGACGCCGCTTCAAGCTGATACTGGCAGTCTTCACATAGTCCATTAGTCCTAATCCGAATAGGATAAGGACGTCCATCTTCACTTCAAGTTTTGAACAATCCTTAGGTTGCTACTTCTTGTAACAGGCCTCTTCTGCAAAATCGATAACGACGATTTTAGACGTACAAAAATATTGGATGCAACTGCATTGTGTAGACACGAACAATTATATCTTATTCTTACCCTAGGTTGCTCGTAATCGTCGTCATTGTCATTTTCATCATCGTCATTTTCATCATCGGATGGCCCAGACCCAGTACACGTTCTTGCATTATGATTGGTAGAACCGCACTTACTGCAATGCTTTTGCCTTCTCTTCGGTACTGTTTCCGACTGATCTTGAGTGGTGGGAGGAACAACATCGGTGTCATCGCCACCGCCACCTTCTTCCGAAACACCATCATTCGGGGCATCACCGTTTGAGGTTGGCTTCACATAGCCAACAGGATGTGGGCATCGGGTCCTATAGTGGCGCCATTCACCGCAATTGCTACACTGTCGTGGTTCTCCTTTCTTCCTTTTAGATTTTTTAGCCCCCGAACCTTTAGCTTTGACCTGTAATGGATCCAACAAAATTTCATTCGCCTTCGGTCTATTAATGCCGGGTATGTCCACGTTGCCAGTGTCCACCATGTCCAACTTTTCACATAATGACTGAATTCCCTCACGAGCAATCTTGAAGCAATCACTAGATTTTGCCCCTTTTAACATTAGTTGTAAGTTGTGTTGTTGAATACTACCATACCTGATTGACACAATATTTTATACAAAGTGAGTAAAATTAATGTTCACCTAGCTTCGAACCAATATAAAAAAAAATTAAAAGTGATAGTCATGGCAAACCTTAATGCGAAAAGTTCAGATTCATCTATTATGTCTGCTTCGTCCAAGCTCTCTAGTGTCTTCGGCTTCTTTGACCATCTTCGACGTACTAGGCCTTCAGGAAGTTCCAGTATGCTCTCTTCTTTCAGTACAAAAATCATATGACGGCATGGTATTCCCATATAATTGTAGTGATTACAACTACACTCCATTGCAAAAGGGTTCAACTGCGTACGTGACTTGAAAAACCTTATCCATGCCAGACACCTTGACCTTCTTTGCCGCGATTTTGAGTACAGAGTAAAGCTTAGATTAGAGGCACAACATGGAAAATAAGAGAATTACTCGCTCTTCGTCCAAGCTTGTGGTATGTATAATAGCTCTTTTTACCATTGAAATTCATTCTAGTTAATTTATTAATCGCAGGTTCACTGTCATTGTAGGAGACAGCCGAATTTGTGACTCCAACAAAGAAACCAAGGATACCCAAAGGTGTAAGCACTCCACCCACTCCTGCTTCAGTCATCGTTTTTATTTCGGACGATGAATCTGACTCCGAGGTCACACCAAAGAAGCCAAATGGAAAAAGTATTTGTCTACCTTCTGTTGACAAGTTAATAAAGGTGTCATGTTTGCCATTGAAGTGTTCTTTGCCGTTATTCCGTCATAACGAATGCATTTCCACTCGTGTTTATTTGTGGCCCCTATTCCAGGTTGTTTTGAAGTTTAAGCTACCTACCGCTATGGAATACGATGATGAGCAAATCCAGCTTGCTCACTATATATTTTTAGCCCATCTGCCACCTGACGAAGTATTGGTCAAAACCTCTAACAACTCTTGTACGAGGAAGTCATTGTGGTCCTTAAACCCTCGCTCATTCGTAGATGCTGAAGTAATCAACGGAACTCCAAAATTTTGTTTTGTTTGTCCACTATCAATGCTTTCTACTTAGAATTATTTTATAACAACTCGATAGTATCATGAAGTGTTTTTTGTCCATGTTATATTAGGTTATAACAGCGATGGCCTGCCACTTGACTCTAGAAGAGTTGTGGACAAATTCCAAGGACGGAAAAGGAGTGTGCTATCTGCCTGCTGAACTACAGGTTGTGGTCCGATTATACTTAATGACAATTTCCTCTCACCAAAAAAATTACAACACATGTGTTTTTAACGTGAATCATAATGTGTTGACAAAATTTCAATTGTGCAACTACCACATGGGCAGGAACTAGTGATTTCATGTGGAATAACACCCAAGAGGGCATTAGACCTATACGAATCAAAATTCCTTAGTCGAACCAATATGGTGAACAAGGTAAATTGTTCGTCTTAATAAGTATTACATGGTTTGCAGTTTATTTTTTTAATACGTGTTGACAATTTCCGCATATGTAGGTGTGTGTTCCGATGAGAGATAATGCCCATTGGTACTTGGCTGTCATTAAGTTGGACAAGGAAGAAGTCCATATCTTGGATCCACAACCAAATGAAGACCGCAATTCCTTTCGATTACAATCTGTTCAAACAATGGTAAATTTGTGACATTGTGCCGTTATAACGCAAAAAAATGTAAATAACTCTTTCTAAGTACAAACGTTTCTTAATTTGTACAGATGAGATTTATGCAAGCCTTGTGGAAGATTCTCTATCGTGAACAAGGTCCGGGATTGTCGCCACCAAGGATTGCGGAGTTTTCGTACCCAAATCCTTCAAAGGATCAAGAACAACTTCATCGGTAAGTATGCCCATTTTTTTGTGATATTAAACGACGACTTATCAACTTGGTTCTTATCACGCAATGCTTTTATTTTATGTAGGTCTGACAGTGGAGTATGGGTATGCATGTGGATGTATGGCGCAAGCTGGGACTCCTCTTATATTTGGGTAAAGACAATTCTAATTCGCATATTAGAAAACCACAATTGATTGTTATTTTTGAATCATGCGGTAAGCACCATGTTTGTTGATGTTGTTAGCCATGCACTCAAGTGAGGAGGATGCAGATCGCTTTGTACCTTGTTCGAGAGCCCATGAACTACATAAGGCATATGGTGGTCACGGAAGCAAGAAGAGTTGCACCTCAAGTTGAAGCTGCAGTGGAAGAGTACAAGAAAACCCATGAAAGGAGGAAAAAGGAAAGAGAAAAGCACAAGGAAACCCAGTCAACGAGCCCAAGAACAACCTGATTTTTCGTTTTAGTTTGCAAGATGATGGACAACAGTTATGTTTTTTTTTCTCAGGATGATGGACAACCGTTTTTTATTTGGTTTGGTGAATGCTTTTTATTTTTGGTTTTTATATTTCGTTTTTGGTTTGGTGAATGCTTTTTATATTTGGTTTTTGGTTTGGTTTGGTGAATGCTTTTTATGTTTGGTTTTTGGTTTGGTTTTTGGTTTGGTGAATGCTTTCTATATTTGGTTTTTGGTCTTTGTGAATGCTTTCTATATTTGGTTTGGTTTGGTTTGTTTTTTCGTGGAAATGGCAAAGGGACTTCACCAAAATTCCAGCTTCCAACTTGTGAGTGAGGCTGCTTCTGTTCAAGGCTTCAAGCCATTGTATCTTGTAGAGAGGTTTAATTGGGATCATGTATAGTTAAACTGATTGGCTCCCAATCGTATAATTAAATTTGCATTCATGTATAGGTAACCCAAAAGGTACAACTGATTGGCTCCCAATCAGTATAATTAATGACCAAACCCCGTACAAGGCAGATAGAAAATTCTTATGTAATTAATTTAATGTTCCTAGGATATGGAAAGGCTTACATTCCTTGAATTTCCACCAACGATGTTTTCACTCCCCTTTTAGTCAGAGAATTCATTGTAGTATTAAATACAATAAAAAGGCTTACATAATTAATGGATTCTTTATTGTGTATAATTAAAAGGATATTTTACTATAAACGAAGCATGATAGATTCACAGGGGGGTAAAAGAAGCATGAGTCTTGATGAAAAAGGGGGGAAAATCACCATAGATAAAAAATCATTATACTCAAGCCATATCCATACTATTCACGCCTATCATCGTCACTATACTTGTGACCAAATATAAATAAAACCATAATTTTCGAAAACCATTAAAAAATGAAGATTAAATAAGTAACACATTCTTCGACCTAATTGGAACTGCTTAGAACAAAAGCGGATTAAAATCTCCCACAATGAAATTCATTTGCAATTTCATAGGTAGTCCCCTACTTCCACTTCTATAATTTTGAGAAAACATTGCAATTTCATCAATGGTCCCCACTCGTGGGCCAATTTCAATTGCAAGCAAATTTGCACCCTTACAATAGCTTCTCACATCATAGCAAGTGTAGGATGCAATTGCACCTCCTTGCTTAGGGATGACCATTACTGCATCTCGTCACCTGTCTTAGGAAAATTAGCCATGGCAAATTCACAAAATACTGCATGCATAGAAAAATATTTGTCTGGATAATTAAAAAAATGGGAGACTTTCCTAGTCAGATGATGTACTGGCTCCCCTCAGTACCTGACAGTTTTGAGTGCTGGAGAATAAGACGGGAAAAAAAAACCAACAAAGCCTGAGTAAACTTATTAACAAAAGACATCCAATGCTGGCCCCTTTGCTGCTCCAACGCTCCACCCCGCCCTGCATCAATCGACTCTCATGTAAGCCGAGGACGTTTGCTTGAGGATGCCTCAGGGGTCTCTTCATGCTCCGTATGCCGAAGATCAATAAAAGTATTGGTCAATTCGACGATACGGTAGACTGGCAAATAGGCGCACTGGTCCTCCTTAGCATAAACCCCCATATCCATCCCAACCCTTTCAAGAAAGGTGGTCAAGAAGGTGGCATATGGAAAGGCAGTGTACCAGTTTTCCCCTCTAGGAGCAGCCTCAACCATGTTCAGGCACATGAGAGATGCGAGGTTAACAGGAACACCTCTTTGAGCTTGCACAAGGATAAACAGGTCAAGTTTACGAATAATCGAATGACCACGGTACCTTGGCATGAAGCAGTTGACGATCATCCAGTGGAGGAATCGAAGAGGATCTGGGAGGAAAGAAGCCTGGATGCGCCCCTTCGTCAGTTTCTCCAGTTCAACTTCAAACTCAAAATCGTACAGCCTCCCAAGATCGCTTCTGCTATCAATGGGGTGTCCTGCGGCGGGGAGATCGAGGATCTCAGCAAACTGATGAGGCTGGAAGCAGACTCTATAACCCAGGAAGATCGACACGAGATGAGAATCGCAGGGACCAGACAACTCTAAATTGTGGTAGAACTTCCTCACCACATGCGGGCAGTAACTGGTGCTTCCTCGACTCCGGAGATCAATGAACTTTTCCCAGCCAAGATTTTTAATTAACTTCTTCACTTCTGCAGGGAAAGGACTCAGGTGGATGAACTCGTACTCGGCCACAATTGATGTCATGCTTGTGAATGAAAGATAGTCCCCGAGACTTGGGGTGGATCGGCAGTCATCGTTTGAAAGAGATAGTATCCCCATTTCCACAAAAGATTTACCTTTGTTTGCCATGGAGTCAGAGGAAGAAGGAACAAGGGAAGGTGAAGATGAAGGAAAGAGAGAATGTAGGTGTAAGAAAACGTGATCGTGGGGGTTGAGTGTGGAGACATGAGTGTGATGGAGACGGTTGAGTCTGGAATGTCAAGAGTTAGAAGATTTTGGAAGATATGTAGTAATGATGATGTTAACTCGTGTAGCTTAAACTAGGGTAAGTAAAGCTAGTTAAACTAGGGTTGGCGCACGAATTGATACTGCAGGAGAAAACAAATGGGCTCGCACGTTCCAGGCCCACTTTTGAATATTGCATGGGCCATGTACAAGCCCACGTTTGAATCTTATTTAAAAGCCTGCAAAAATCAATGATCAGACCTAGTCCAACTAGAATTACTCCTAAACGCACCGTTAATACATAAACACAAACTAAGGAGACCTCTCCATCCGATTCGAATCAAATTATGTGTTCTTCATCTTCTTCCTCAATCCTCTGGGCGAGACGAACACTACATATCAGGAAACCTAAATTTCACCGAGAGATATAAGGTTCGAGAAAATCACAATAACGCTAAGACAAGATGACAAAGCACTAGCGACATGAACCCTAGGGTTAGCAAACCTCTTTCAAGGGTTCTTTTGCAAATGAAAAGTTCGATGAACAAAATAATAGACACGGTCGCCGTAATCGTGTTAGAAAGAGATAGGCGAGGGGAAATAAAATGGCGAAGAAGAAACAAGACAAAATAAATTGGGAAATTCAAGCTACGTCGAATGTGGATGCAAGTAATTGGGATTCAAAAAGATGATTAAGTTGGGGAGTTCAAATTGGATGGGGAGCGTCTCTTGGAACTGTGAAGGGGTGTCCCTCCAAGACGAGAGAGGGATCGTGTAATTGGTTAGGGAGACTGGAAATTGGTTAGGGCGGCAGTGGGTCTACCCAATTGGGTTTGCAGTCTTAATCAATTTAATTTAATCGGGTCAGTTAGTTGGACTAGGATGAAAAAAAACTTAACGCGGCAAGAGCCTTTTTGTAATTTGTTTAGTTATTTAGTGCGCAGGAAGGTTTAACAAACGTGAGCCGTGGAGATTGAAAACGAATGGTTTATATGTTTTATCAAAAACCTCAAATTCAAAATTAGATTTGGTGTGTTAAGTTATTAATAATTAATTAGAAAAACCTCAAACACAGTACTGATTCCGTGCTCCTGCACTTTTCTTTTCTACCCATGCAAACATACATATAGGTATCAAATAGTTATATATATATATATATAGCATAGGGTATCAAACAAATAATGATTTCGTATCCTTCATGGAATTGAAGAAGAGGGAGCGGGCTTTGTAGCGATGCTTTAATGGCCCAACTAAATCCAATATATAGTGCACAGATACATTGACTCAAATATCCCTCCGTGGACTCCGCAGGGTGCAGGAAAAGGGAGATTACGTAGAACCTCTATATATATAGTAAGTATATATATATATATATATATATATATATATATATATATATATATAAAAGTATAAGTATTGTTAGGATTAGGATTTCAGAAAATTCGCTCATAGGTGTCAAAACACAACCCGACCCGATTAACCCACCCGATCAACCTGACGCAACCCAAGTTGACTATAACTCGATTGACTTGATACCCTATAGGTTAGCAACCATATTGACCCACAACTCGATTGGCCCACAACCCGATTGAGCTTGTAACCCGGCTAACCCGTAACATGAACCCAATTGAACCTGTAACTCGAATGAACCCGTAATCAAACTAACCTATAACCCGAACTCAATTGGCCCGATGAACTATAAAATAAATTCATATGTTATTTGGGTAAATGCCACATTTGGTCACTGAGATTACTAAACCATGTCATATTTAGTCACTATAAAAAATTAATATCAATTTGGTCACTCGAATTAGTGAAACATGTCACATTTAGTCACTCTCCCATTAGTTTCCTTAATGTGACATGTTTCACTAAATGTGACATGTTTCACTAATTTGAGTGACACTCATAAAAAAAGTCATTCGAGTGACCAGAGTTGGATGGAGGCTTACGAGAGAGTGACTAAATGTGATCTGTTTTAGTAATTCGAGTGACATAAATTGATATTAATATTTTCTAGTGACTAAACATAAGACAATTTAGTAATCTCAGTGACCAAATATGGCATTTACTCAATTAAAATCACACCTGGAAATCACAAAGTAAAAAAATAATGTGAAAAGTAGGTCAGAATTGATTTTATTAATAAATTATTTTGGATTCAAAAGGTCCTAACACTAGCATACATTAGTGAATAACATAAATTAAAGTTTGGAGTGTCAATAATATGGTGGTTGAAATTAAAGTTTGGAGTGTCAATAATATGGTGGTTGAGGAAACATGTTGCAAAACTAGGAGAGAGTATTTGATAATTGTACATTAATCTATTTCTAACAATGTTGAACAATTAATTGAAATAACATAGGGTAGATGCCATATTTGGTCATTGAGATTACTAAATTGTGTTATGTTTAGTCACTAGAAAAAGTTAATATCAATTTTGGTCACTCGAATTACTAAAACATGCCACATTTAGTCATTCTCCTGTTCGCCTCCGTCCAACTCCGGTCACTCGATTTTTTTTTTATGAATGTCACTCGAATTACTGAAACATGTCACATTTAGTCAGTCTCAGTTAGCCTCCGTCCAACTCCATTCGTCCAACTCCATTAATGGAGTTGGACGGAAACTAAGAGGAGAGTGACTAAATGTGACATGTTTCAGTAATTCGAGTGACCAAAATTGATATTAATTTTTTAGTGACTAAACATGACATGATTTAGTAATATGAGTGACCAAATGTGGCATTTACCCGATTTTAATTACAGCGAACTAATGAAGGAAGAGAAAATCAAAATTGAATTAAAAAATTCAAGAGTACTTTTTTTCTCCCTGCATAATTTTGGCAGGACGAGATGCATTTTTGGCGGGTGGATTATGTAACACTTTAGGAAAATCCCACATCGTCAAAGCACGGGAGAGATCCATGGTTCATAAGTAAGAAACCGACATTAACTGAAAAGACGCGTTTTGGAGTGTAATGGAGGAGTTCTTGTGAGAAATCTTAAGTTAAACTTGCTCAGTGTGGAGTACAACAAGGATGGGTGACCTTATGGGAAGTCACCTTGAATTGCACCCCGAGCCAAAAACCGTGAGGGTCGAGGCCCAAAGCAGACAATATCTTGCTCAGGAAAAGGTTCGGGATGTTACAAGTGATATCAGAGCCTCTCTGCATCCCTCTTGAACAATGGTGGGGCAAACCTCTACGAGGATGTTGAGTCCCAAGGGGGGGGGGGGGTGTATGTAACACCTTAGGCAAATCCCACATTGACAAAGCACGGGAGAGATCCATGGTTCATAAGTAAGAAATTGACCTTAACTGAAAAGACGCGTTTTGGGGTGTAATGGAGGAGTTCTTGTGAGAACTCTGAAGTTGAACGTGCTCAGTGTGGAGTACAACAAGGATTGGTGACCTTATGGGAAGCCACCTTGAATTGCACCCCAAGCCAAAAACCGCGAGGGTCGAGGCCCAAAGCGGAAAATATCTTGTTCAGGAAAAGGTTCGGGATGTTACAGATTTTAGTTCATATGGCAGATAAATAATGCAAAATTGAAAAAAAAACCCATAACATTACCGAGAATTGTGCCTATTGAATTAACTTTTTGTTGTACTAGCATGTAACCGCGCGGTTGACCGGAATATTTGAGTTTATAATTTTTTAAAATTATCCATTAATTATTAAATCAACAAAAAATCAACTTGCAATTGTTCTAATCATACAAAAATAGTCTATTACTAAATTATTTACCCTTAATGCTAAAATCAAAAGGATGCATTGTACCCCATCTCCTGATTCTATAAATGGCTAAGTAGACAAAACTCTGAATCAATCATTTTTGTGAACCTCATATAGAATTATTGAAAATCAATGATAGCTTAACCGAGAATATAAACCACTCCAAAAAGAATGAGATCTTAACTAAGAATAAACCTAAAATAAGATGAAATAATAAGAACTGAGATATTAAGAAAACAAAAGTGATTATCAACACCACATCGTCTATTTTAATTTTTTCTTAGTAATATTTCTATCACACCATCATGTTAATTAAATACTAACATCAAACACAACTTCGATATCTTCTATTAAAAACTTAATTTGTAGTTATATTTTTTCCGGTGAATTAGTACTCATTGTCAATTTGTAGCTATATTGATATAGTCATGAAAAATATTTTTTCCATGAGAGTAGTTAACAAAAATTTTACAATAAACTCAAAACAATCCAATACAATACCAGACTACTAGTTCATTTAGAATACATAATAAAAATTATATTAGTAAAGGGTCACAGAAGAAAGGATGCGCTCTTGAGAAAGATCGAGAGACTGGAACATCGGGATGGTAACTTGCACTCTTCTCCTCAGCTCGAGGCTGCCAAAGAAGAACTCGAGTTGGTTATGTTCCAGGAGGAACTCTTTTGGTGCCAAAAGTCGCGAATCAAGTGGATCGCATCAGGAGATAAAAAGACAGCTTATTTCCACTCAAGAACCCTGAAGCGACGAAAGAGGAACAGGGTCCTAGCGTTGCAAAATGCGGCAGGGGAGTGGGTTGATGAAGAAATGGAACTTCAACAAATGGCCCGGGCATTTTTCGAGTGGCTGTACACGGATGAAAACAAGAATGTCGTGTCCCTGACTCGCGAATTCCCGGAGTTGGAAAGCAGCCTTCGGCAGGGTCTTAATGTGCAACCATCTGCCGAGAACATCTTCCAATCAATCCGCTCGATGGGAGCTTTGAAAGCACCTGGCAAAGACGGGTTGAACCCCCTATTTTTCCAGAAATACTGGGAGACAATCGGAAACTCTATGACGGACCTGATCCGCAGCTGCTGGGACGAGCCGACCAGGATTCAGGACATCAACTCCACCATCATCATCCTAATCCCAAAAATCACCTCGCCGACGTCTATCGAGCAATTCCGACCCATCAGCCTATGCAATGTTGCCTACAAAGCACTGACAAAGACAATTGCGGAGAAGCTGAAACCTCTTATCCCCAAGTTGGTGCACGAGACCCAAATGAGCTTTGTCCCAGGACAACACATTACAGATAACATTTGTATCCTACATGAAGTTTTTCATTCTATGCGGGACAAGAAGGGTCGGAAAGGGTGGATGGTCCTGAAGATCGACCTGGTCAAGGCTTATGACAGAATTCGTTGGGAATTTGTCTGGGATACTCTAGAGGCGACATGCACTCTTACGAAGCTGATCGAGGTAACTATGGCTTGTATCACGACGTCCATAATGGAAATCCAGTGGAACAAGGGCTTGACAAGCCCGTTCTCCCCATCGCGCAGCCTTCGACAGAGATGTCCTCTATCACCCTATGTTTTTATGTTGTGTATGGAAAGATTGGGTCATCTTATTAATAAATCTGTTAGGGACGGGAGTTGGCAGCCGATCTAGCTGACCAGATCAGGACCGGCCTTATCACATTTGTTTTTTTTTTGCAGATGATCTAATTTTGTTTGGCGAGGCATCGTTGCAGCAAGCCCAGGCGATCCTGCAATGCTTTGAGACCTTTGGAGCGACCTCGGGACAAAGAGTGAGCAAACCAAAGTCGAGAGCCTTCTTCTCAGGAAATGTGACGACCGAAACCAGAGCCTCCCTAAGTACCGAGCTCAAAATCCCGCAGACGACAAACCTCGGCAGATACTTGGGAGTTCCGGTTATCCACGATTGAGTATCAAAGGCAACCTACATTGAATTGATAGACAATGTGGACAAAAGACTAGCAAGATGGAAAGCTGAAACCATGAGCTTGGCATGGCGGATTACGCTTGCCCAGTCTGTCCTGTCATCCCTACCGTCGTACACCATGCAAACGTTTTTCCTCCCGATTAGCGTCAGGGACTACATCGACAAAAAAATCAGAGCGTTCATCTGGGAAAGTACGAAAGGAGGAAGGAAAGTGCACCTAGTAGATTGGGACACGATATGCAGACCAAAAGAGGAAGGCGGCCTAGGTATGCGTTCGGCAACCCAAACGAATGAGGCGTACATGCTGAAAATTGCATGGCGTAACATCATGAACCCAGAAGAGCTGTGGGCAAAGGTCATCCTACACAAGTACATGCGAACGACGGAGGAAGGTCTGGTGTCGCGCCGAACAGTGAGGGTCTAGAACCTATGGGAGTACTACGAGTCTGGCACAGATTGGAGGAAGCCTCGACGTGGAATATACGAAATGGTCGCCTCGCCCGCTTCTGAAGTGACTGTTGGATCAATGACGAGGAACCTTTAGCGGCGTACTCCCAAGCAGTTCCGGAAGTAGCGAGGAACATTCCAGTGGCGGACTTTGTGCTCAAATATGAGTGGAATAGGGAGTATATAAATCATTTCTTACCCGTTGATGTGCCCTCGCAGGTTTACCTTCACCCGGTGCTGACGGAGACAGAAGACGACGTGAGATGCTGGCGTTTCACTCCGAATGGTGAATTCTCACTTAAGACGGCGTACAAGATGTTGGGAGAGGAGGATAACCCGCACCTTCACAGACACCCTACCTGGAGAGCAACCTAGAAGATCCCGGCAATGCATCGGATGTGCTCCTTCATGTGGCTGGTCAATCACCGCAAGCTTCTAACCAACGCAGAGCGGAAGTGCAGACACCTAATTGACGACGATGGCTGCAAAATATGCGGCGGGGCCCCTGAAACTACACTTCACATACTTCGCGATTGCCCTTATGCAAGAGCTACGTGGGTGGAAGCACTACAAAATGAACCTGGTCATGATTTCTTCGAGCCCAACATCGAGAGATGGATCCTGCACTACACGACGGGCCGTGGCCGCACCATCAATAGCACTCTCTTCACGACTATGTGCTGGCTATTGTGGAAAAACCGGAACAATTACTGCTTCCAAGGTAAGCTGGACTCCTGTGCACATATTCAGACTAGCTGGGTACAACTTCGGCTTCAAATCCTTAAAGCCTCGGAGAAGGAGCAACAGGTGTTCGGAGCCGGGGGACTCCACACACCTACGATGATCCAGTGGCAGCCACCTCAGCCCGGGTGGTCTTGCCTAAACACATATGGCTCCGTGACACTTTCTACATCTAGCACGGCGGCCGGGGGAGTCGCCAGGAGGGACGATGACCTTTTTGTCACTGCTTTCTCCATGAACCTGGGAGGGGGTTCCATCAATAGTGACGAGCTAGCCGGTATTGTGCATGGGTTACAGATTACTTGGGAGGAAGGAATTCGGAAGGTTATTCTGCAGACAAACTCCACCACGGCTTTGTCACTTATCGATTCTGCGACACCACACCATTCACAATATTCCTATGTGGCTGAGATCCGACGGTGGCTCTAGTGAGATTGGCAGGTCCAGCTTCAGCATGTCTTTTGAGAGGCGAACGTGGTCGCTGACTACCTAGCAAACAGAGGCCATTCCTTGCCGGTTGGCATCCATCGAGTTACAGCTCATGATAGCACTCTTGCTTATTGGTTGTACCATGATACTATTGGGGTTCAGACACCCCGTCTCATTATCGTATAAAGGATGTGGCGCCCTTTAAGCGCTCCGTCTTCTCACAAAAAAAACAATAATATTCCAAAAGCATAAAATGAAGGAACATGTTGTAAAAAATATATAAAAGGTTTTTTAATTTCAAATCTTTTTATATTAATTTTAGAGTTCATAATCAAATAATATTCCAAAAAATATACAAAACTGTTATGTAAGAATATAAATATTTTTTCAAAATGTTAAACATCTTTTACATTATTTTATTCCCTCTAATCTCTTCTCTCTCCATGTTATTGCGTGCACTACTAAAAATAAGGAGATAATTTTTTATTTATTTTAAAGTCAAGGTATAATTACTTTTATACCCTACCTACAATTAAGGAGAATAAAAAAAAATTGTGAAAATCCCGCAAAACTCCACCATTTTATATTCTTTAGATTTAGCCTTTGTCCCCATCCTGCTCGTTTTCTATCTAGTTTTTAGTAGCTTAACCCAAAATCCACTATTTCCATTGTATTGTTTGTTTGTTGGGAGTTAGGTCTTAGGTCACCCAATTCGTCAATGGACCTTCGCCACTCCCGCGCTAGAGCGTGAAAATGCGCTTTCTCCATGGCATGACTATAATTTGGCGAATTGTTATTCATTGGAGCGCGAATTATATTTGATAATTCGCGAATCCTGTAATTATTCAAGTTTTAGGGGGGGGGGGGGGGGGGGGGGGTGCAAGTTCTAGGGGGTGCAAGTTGAGGTGTAAATTATAGGAGGGTGTAAATTGTAGGGGGGAGTAAGTTGAGTGGTAAATTGTTATTTGGAAATAATAGTAAGATGGTGCAAATGAGGTGAATAGTAATTGAATTATATAATTATAATATAAAATATAATAAGTTATAAAACTTAAATAATAATTTTTAATCTTTTTGTTACTTTTGTCCAATTATATAGAAATATATTTAATTATTGTTTTAGTTTTCTTTTCCCTCTCACACGCTCTCTTCCACGCGATCGAGAAATGCGGTGAAGGCCTAACCTAAGGCTGAACTTCATACGAACATACTTTGCGCTCGGTTATCCAATCGTAGCGAATTTTTTTATTCGCGTAATTTTTCGAGATCTTTCAATCCGCAAACGCCTAAGTCGGTTTGGTCCCGCCTTCGTCCTGAAAGAACGTCGTTTGCTACCACGAAGGAGCATTTTTTTGTTTATTCCAAACTTTGGACGACCATAACTTTGTGCTCCGCAACCCGAACGTATGAATTTTTTTTGATTCCGCATAATTTTTATGGGACTACAACTTTTACTAGGAAAGAATTTTCAAAACAGGAAATAGTTTTCGATATACGGCGTTTTGGGAATAACTTTCCCTTTACTTTTCACAAATCCACATATATTCCAAAATTATGGCTATAATAAAAATTGTAGTCCTTAAAAAGTTATGCGTAATAAAAAATAATTTCATGACGTTCGGATTGCGTAGCACAAAGTTATGACCATCCAAAGTTCGGCGAAATTGAAAAATTTCTCATTTGGGGAAGAAATGACTTTTTTCGGGGCCGAAGGAAGGACCAAACTACCTTCGATGTTTGCGAATTGAATGATCTCGAAAAATTATGCGAAATAAAAAAATTCGCTATGATTGGATAACCGAGCGCAAAGTTATGTTCGTTTGAAGTTTCAGCCTTAGGTCAGACCTTCACCGCGCTCCTTTGTCGCGTTGATGCATTCACCGCTTTCATATGCAAAGGTGAAGATGTTCACCACGTCCCACAGCCGCGGTGATGCCCTAACATTTGTAAATTGAGAATTTTTCATAAACGTGTGTATTTTGAGAATTTTTTAAAAACGTATGTATTCTGGAGAAAAATCCGTGTTTTCATGTGGTTTAGTCTATTTGGATTTCCCGATAAGCAACAATCTCATTAAATCATTCTTCTAAACATAATAAGTGACTTTTAAATGCAAATAAATAACCTTTGTCACCAAAACCTAGTTTTCTAATAGTGACTTGATGGGTTGACCCCCGCAACCCGACTGATTGTGACCCGATTATCCTGTAACACGAACAACCCATAACCCGGTTAACCCGTAACTCGCTAGGCCTGTAACTCGATTAACCAGTAACTCGTTTGGCTCGTAACTCGCTTAACCTGTGACTTGTTTGACTCTATGGAGGACGAGGAGGAGGGAGAGATGGGGAACAAAATGAGGGGGAACAAAATGAAGCCAACCAGTGAACTTCTCATGCTATCTGTGTTTATTTTAGTTTTGTGTCATTCCATTGAACTATCCATGTTATCTTTCTTTAGTCAAGTCTTGTGTTTTGGTCTTGCATGATCTATGATTTATCTATGTTGTCTTTCTGTAGTCATGATCATTGGCAGAAATAAACATCGCTCTAAGGCCCTTGTACACTCCATTTGTACTTGCGCCATGGTTAGTAGTTGCAATGACGAATCTGGCACCATTGTCCATATGGAATGTCCACATGTGCAAATCTTGACCTTCAGCCTATATTGCCCTCGTTCGGTGTATCTGATGGATCGTCTTCATCTTCTGCTCGTACTTTTTTGGTTGATGTGCAACTGCTTCAAGGTGAACAAAAATAACTATTCAATACATGATAAATAAAAAAAATATCCATTATGCGTAATTAACTTGCATAAAAAGACATTAGTACCTGCAACCCATAATTGATCTCTTATGGCTTTCTTCTTCCCGAATTTGTGGGAGAAATTGGCAAGAAAGTGTCGAATACACCAGCGCCATGTCCATCCCCATTCATCAGGAAAACCACCCACGACGTTTCTCGACCCCTTCTTCCGCCATTGACTCTCTATGACACAACTTCTAACAAAGGCCAAGTGTAACCAATGAAAGGGTCTGGAGTATAGTGGCTCAAGTAATAAATATCGAATCCACGGGTCTCTAGAGTTACTATTACTCAGCTTCAGTTGCCAATTGATCTCCGATTGACTTGAAACTTGCGCCTATGCTTCAATTTATGTGTGAGGACCTGAAATGTGACAAAGGAACACAACCTAGCGTAAAATAGGCAAAAGAAGCGATAATTCAAGCTTAAAGGATCAAGAAGTAGAGGGGAAAACATGTGCAAGTACCGAGTCATCAAATCCCCCCACACTTAACCGTTTGCTTGTCCCCAAGCAAACCTGACTCAAACCAATGCAACTCTCTAGACCTTTATAGCAATACGCAACCTCGATTGTCAATAACGGATTTGTTAGATCATTTAGCAGCTTACGAGGTTAACCGGTCTTCTAAGACGTCCCCTATCTCTCTCAATGCGAGTACTAGACTCAAACCAGGATCATCCGAAGTAGTGGACCTAGGACATACAATTCATGGATAAAGAGACTCACACAATACACACAAACTTGGACTTTTGTCTCGGGTGCTCTTCTCATTTCATTTCATTTGTTGGAACCCTTTTTCTCAATTTTTTTCTTTTTCTTTCATTTCATTTGCTGTTGGGGTTCCAACTGCAGTTATGCGCGGCCGACCCTTATTGGTTGAGCAAGAGCAATTTCTGTACATCTGTCGCTCACCAGAGTACTTCTTTTAACTCCTTTTCCTCAATTCGTGCGGAGGGTCATTGAAATTAAGGGGGGTCGGAAGCTATATCTGTGCCCTTAAAAATACATCCTCGAGTAGGCAAGCCGTTCAACGGGTGGAAATTTTACTTGTACTAGAGACAACTTAGCTTCACCTTGTAGGAGTACCCCACTAGGAATCACCAAAATCTCTTCCAAAACCCAATTTTGTGCAATGAACGGTGCCACACACGTTGGGCTTACCCCATGTTTAAGATGTCAGATTATTGCCATGGGGGACCGACTATGTTTCATTAAGTACACTGGGACCTTCTCATGATAAAAAAGTCCAAACACAATGAAAGTCATTCATATCACATGATTCAAAGGTCCCAAAGCCACTAGTTCACACAATCACCCGGCACAACAAGGAGACAGATATGAAAAATCTTATACTTCAGCATCCTCCATAATGCTACAACTACCTCCCTAGGTTGCATAATACTATAAAGGTTGTCAATTCAAAGCATATTGAGCAGGAAATTGTAGGGAACACGTAATTGGAGCCCTCAAATTTAAAAATTCGGACAGTGGACTAGGCTCCAGGCACAAACATACAACCAAACATTCACACACATACAGGCAAACATTCACACGCGTATATAATCGAACATTCACACGCATACACATACAGCCAAACATTCACACACATATATATATAATGGAACATCACCCCACACTTAAGCACGACATTGTCCTCAATGGAGGAAAGATAAGGAGGGTAGAATGAAGTTACCAGATCAATTGTGAATGATGGTGGACTGGGCAGGCGGTGCATTCCAGGAGGAGAGAGTAGTCGGAACACAAACACCACACAAAATCTCACAAAGGTTGAGTTATTGACTCTAAAATCAAAGAACAAAACTGACTAAACCGAGGAGAAATAGGGAAAGAAATGCAAATTGACTGGTTGGGTTGCCTCCCAACAAGCACTTATTTCACGTCGTGAGCCGGACAGTGGCTCCTAAGCTTCGGTCCACCCCAAAACCTCTTTGAAGTTGAGGTTCTTGTCGATGAGGTAGAGCCTCAAGTCACGAGCATGTGGTATGACAGGTGATGAAGGCTCATGCACTTGATGCAAGTCTCCATCCTCGAGACCTCTTCTTCTCTTCTCTCGTCTCATTGCTCCAAACTAGATATACTAGCATCGACTGACCACCATCGCATCCACCAAGAGGGACCGATGTCGATGTGGCCTTGGTCTGGCAAAGAGACACCGCAAATGGGTCCTTGCCAAGAAGCTCCTTGAAGTTTGGTGGAGATATTACTTGTAACATAGGGCGGGTGCAAGCCTCTTCCACCTCAACTTCTTCCCTAGCCTGGACGCCAATTGCTTCCTCAACCCCCCATCCTTCTTCAGAATTTAATTCCTCCCTTCGGAAAAGATCAAGAACTTCCTCTAATTCACTTCCGTCATCCTCCACAACTTCTTTACCCATCCTTTCTCGCTCTTCTTCTTCTTCTAGAACGGATTGGAGAGCAAGTCACCAAGAAATTTCTGTCATGAGATCATCTTGCATCTCCTTGCTCATGCCCACCTCTTCAAAGCTCGGTGTGGGATGTGGGAAGGTGTGGTCGGCCACAACAGGACATTCCTTATCATGTTCATCACGGGAGCTCTCCGTGAGACCGTGACAACTTCTGTATACTCCACAATGTCCTTGTAGCCTTCTTCATCCTGCTCTTCTTGTGTGGAAGCAGAAAGGCGATGTTGAGCAAGTTGTGCACAAACTTGCTCAACCCACTTTGTTTGCTTCACTGAGCGCTGAACAGCCTCCTCAGATTCATAGATGGATTGGATTAGGAGGTCCATCCTGAGGAAGGATATCTCGGTGTCCCGAACAAAATGCTCTATGAGAAGTCTCAATTCACAGTTTGGATCTTGTTGTGGGCTGTAGCATGGCTCTGCAGATTGGCCCGTGAAGGCCATCATGGCTAACTCTAGCTTCGATGGCCCTTCTGGTTGTGGTAGAAATTATTCTTGATAAGGATACTGTTCTTGAAATGTCCAAGGGTCCAGTTGTTCTCCATAGTAAAGGGGTTGGTACTGGAACCAGAATCCATAGTCTTCTCCTCTTTGATTGCTCCAGGAAGTCTCAGGGTAATACCACTCGGGTGGTGGTGGATACCCCCACTAGTTGGAGAAGCCATTAGGATCCATGATTCAGATCTGCACCAACAAAAACAAAAACACCCAAGTGAAAAGCAAGGGTGTAAAAGAAAAAAAATGCTAAAGTAACAAACTTCTGCCTTTCCTAATAATCTAGAAAGTCCCCGGCAACGGCGCCAAAAACTTGACTCTCTATGACACAACTCCTAACAAAGGCCAAGTGTAACCAATGAAAGGGATTGCAGTATAGTGGCTGGCCAAAATCCAAACTTTTGATCCAAGTTCTGGATGATTCCGATGACTCAACCACACAGTTGTTGATCAACGAGGAAGTTGAGAAATGGCAACAAGAGGGAGCTCGCATTTTGTACAGGCATAGAGTGATAAGAGATGGCTACAAAGCTGGCAACCTCAAATCTGCTATGAACTACAGCTACATTAAAGACTATGAATTTGTTGCCATATTTGATGCAGACTTTTAGCCCACCCCAGATTTCCTTATGAGAACAATCCCCCATTTCAAGGTAACTCACTCATTCTCTACTTATTTTGGATTAACTTAGGATTTTTAATAATTTAATTGAGTGAACACTTAAAGATGGTTTCTTTTTCCTTACTACAGGACAATGAGGAGTTGGGGCTAGTTCAAGCTAGGTGGTCTTTTGTGAACAAGGATGAGAATCTACTGACTAGATTGCAGAACATTAACTTAGCTTTCCATTTCGAGGTAGAGAAGAAAGTAAACGGGGTGTTCCTAAACTTCTTTGGGTTCAATGGGACTGCTGGTGTTTGGAGGATTAAGGCTTTGGAGGTTTCTGGTGGTTGGTTAGAGAGGACTACTGTTGAAGACATGGATATCGCTGTCCGGGCTCATGTCCATGGCTGGAAGTTCATTTTCCTAAATGATGTTGAGGTATGTGTGTATACATATATGCTCCGTTTTGTTGCCTGACATTATTTGATTCATGATCAATCATTTGGAACTTCTTAATATGTGATTTCAGTGTCAGTGTGAATTGCCTGAATCATATGAGGCTTACAGAAAGCAGCAACACAGATGGCATTCCGGTCCTATGCAATTGTTTAGACTCTGTCTTCCTCAAATCATATGCACAAAGGTACTTTATAATTTTTTCTATGGTGGTGATATTCTTCTAGGGGGGGGGGGTGGCAAGTTGGTGGAGTAAAAATATTTTTCTGGAAGTAAACAAATATAAGAGTAAGGTGAGATGAATTGGGATTTTAAATTTTCTCCTCTGATACGTTCATCCAAAAGAAAATTTTAGGGTTATAACTTGAACAGTTACAATTTTCTGTAATAGGGGTTGTTCTGTCCTACAATTGTCCTTCTCTCCTTTAACTCCTTCTGGAACATAGAGAACTTGGTTGTGATCCTCTTTTAATGGCCTTATTTGCATATTAGTGTATGGAAGAAGTGCAACTTGATATTCCTCTTCTTCCTGCTGAGGAAATTGATCCTGCCATTTTATTCCTTCACCCTCTTCTGCATAATCCTCCCCATGACAATGTTCATGCCAGAGGTCGAGCTACCAGCATGGGTTGTCTGCTATATACCTGCCACCATGTCATTCCTCAACATCGTCCCAGCACCGAAATCACTCCCCTTCATAGTCTCATACCTCTTTTTCGAGAACACAATGTCGGTCACCAAGTTCAACGCCATGATCTCAGGTCTATTTCAGCTCGGTAGCGCCTACGAGTATGTCGTTACTAAAAAGTCAGGTCGTTCATCAGAGAGCGACCTAGTAGCATTGGGCCAAAAAGAGTCAAAGCATCAAAGGGGGTCCTCCGAGCCTAATTTGTTCGACATGAAGGAAGATTTGGTGAAGCAAGAACAGAAAGCGATGAAGAAGAGGAAGCACAACAGGATATACACAAAGGAGTTGTCTTTGGCTTTCCTTCTTTTAAGTGATGCTGCAAGGAGCCTGTTATCAGCCCAGGGTATTCATTTCTACTTTTTGCTGTTTCAAGGAGTATCATTCCTTCTGGTTGGTCTAGACTTGATAGGGGAGCAGGTTCAGTGAGAAACAAACAGGAGAGGAAAATGGTTGATTAGGGTTTTGTAGTTGTTATACTGGAATCATTATAATAGTACAGTAAAAAAATGGATTGAGATAGAAGTTTGAAGTGAATTATATATAGGGGGGGTGGGGGGGAAGACACTGTAGATCAGCCGGTTGAGTGATGTACATAGTTTAGCAGTCGACCCTCTCAGGGTCTCGTGGGAAGTCAAAAGTTGAAAGATAATCTGTGATTCGGCTGAAGGACTGAAGAATGAAGAAGATGATGACATATAAGAAGGAACAGAAGCAGAAAGAATGGATATACAGATGTTAGGTATAGTTGTTGATGATGGATGCCCTTTGTTAAATATTGTAAGCACTCTTTTTTTCTGTTTTTCTTGGGGGAGGGGGTTCTTTGTCTTTCTCTGTTTCTGTTATGTTTTTATTCTTTCGTTTTTGGGTTCGATTCTTTTGTAAGAAGGGAAGACTAAACATGGTAAAAAGGGGGAAAAAGGAGAAATTTTGTGGTTAAAAAGTGAAATGTGGAAGATTCTTGACTTGTGTGTTTTTCCTTTTTTTTTTTTTTTGTAATGGGGCAACTGTTGCGGCTGAATTCACTTGTTGGATATGCTGTTGAGAAAGGCTTTTCAAGTAATGCAAAAATGGGGAAAATGAGGTTAGATTCCCAATCCTGAAGAGCTATAAGGATAATTCAAAACCCAATTCAGATCTTCCACTTTGTCTGCTCTTTCTTGAATTTGATACCTTATTTTGTCAAAGAGGAAACCTTGGAGATGAACAAGAAATCCCATGTATTGGAAAATTTGAGGAAGAAAAGGAAAATATGCCACTTTTCAAACATCGAGGTTCCAAAAGGTCACCAAGTATGGCTAAAGTAATAAGCAAGATTGAAGCCACGATTATGGGTATGAGAACAAGAGATAGTATTGTTGCTACTTCTAGTGTATTATGAATTATTATCATCAAAGATTGGGAGAAGGGTATGGGCACAAGGGAAGAGGGCCATGTTTATGGGTAGCTCTCTGGCTCAGTCACAAAGCTGTCCTGTGCTGACATATTTATGGTTGGAAAGCAGAGCAACTGGAGCTACACCACGCCTCTCCTGTGAAAAATGTAGAATGAAGGCAAATTTATTTGTTCCGCCTTTTCTTTTGGGGATGGATGCTACTGGATATGCTTTCATTTTTTCAATTTCACAGTTGGAAACAAACAATACACTTCCTGTGGAGAAATTTTTACCATGAACTTACTATACAAATTCAAGAGACAAACTTAGCTTGTATCTATACCATTTTCGTGCAAAAAATTTGATGATAAACACTGAACTTATACATCTTAAATTATGTTATAAATTTAATTTGTACATGAAATTATCAATACTTGTTGAGCTCCTTTATGTTGCGTTCCAATGCAAATGAGTATTGACAGAGTTCAAGTTGGTGGCAAGTGGCAACCAATCGGTAGTTTTTCGAGAAAGAAACTAACAGTTGGATTTTAGTGGTGTTATAAACGCGCTGCTACGGATCGGGAAATCGCCGGAATCGACAAAGCAAGAATACGAAAGCGAGAATCGAAAACACGACACACGATTTGCGTGGTTCACTAACACGATGTGTGTTAGCTAGTCCACGGGCGAGAGAGAGTCAGTTTCACTATATCGAGGAGATTACAGATTACATAGGAGTATGAGAAGTATTTTTAGTACTTCTCCATGTGGGTCTAAACCTAATCCAATATGGCAAAGGAAACGGTTACAGACCATGCCCAGATTCCGAACCCAAATAGCAGTGAGACCCCCGACTATTGCAATCATAGCGGCTGATAGTCCGATTCAAGTCACATCAACAAGTGGCTAATTAATTAGCTTTCCACGAGTGAAGAGGAGTGGTATTATTTATTCATGTTCTTTCAATCATCAAATTTCCACTAGACTATTCACTTTTTCATTCAAGTACTAACACATGCACACCATTGTTGTTGCTATCGATCGTCCATACCTATTGACTACTGTCATGTCCATGTAACAAGATCTATCAGGATGATACACAAATCAAGGTTTTCCTTTTCACATTTTGGTTTTAGCTCATGGCTCATTTCAATGGACACTATCCACTGTCCACACCGAGATTTCATCCCAGGTTGTATCTAGGAAGGCTAACCTACGACAAGGGTTCGGTCGCCTCGACCACCATAGGTCCCTATTCATACATCTAACCTTGATTTTCTTGATGACGAATACTCATCTAACCATATAACTCCATTCCTAGCTTAGAAGCATAAAGAGAAGATTAGGGCTACTTACCCAAACACAATCAATGATAGCACAACAATAGAATCAAATAGATAAACACATTCATTTATTGAAACCCTAAAATATTCATACATACATAATAAATCCTAAAACTAAGGTTTGCGGTTTAGAACCCCAAGTACCTTAGAGGACTACTCCATAAAGGAGGAAAGAAGAAACATAGAAGAAATTGAAGAAGGCTTGGGTTGAGTAAGATGCTCCCTCTCTTCTAGCTTCTTCTCCTTCCTTCAGCTCTCTCTCTCTCTCTCTCTCTCTCTCTCTCTCTCTCTCTCTCTCTCTCTCTCCTCTCTCTGAAACCAAAAATTTCTCTCAAAGTTCATCTCATCTAAAAGCGGGGAAAGGGGTTTTCTATTTATAGACAATCTGGAGATGGAGAAGTTCGAAGTCAGAAGCGTAGAGATCGGTGTCGTGATATTCGAAAGTGAGGTTGCAATCTTGAAACACTGTCGCCCTGACCTTCGAAAATGAGGAGATCCCGGGCTGACTTCGTGGTCGCGATCCACGAGTCTCAGCCGCGATCATTCTCGAGGTCAAATAATAAGGTGGTCGTGATTTGACTGGGGAAGGTCTCTGTTTCTCCCTCGCTCCTTTATCGCGAAGTTTGCGCCTTGAGCCCTCCAATTTGCGGCCGCGATCTGGGACTTCCGGGTCGCGATCTTCAATTTGAGTTCGCGGTCTATGTTCCCGGCCGTGATCTTCAACTTCCAGGCCACGATCTTCAACTTCCTGCCCCCTTGCTACACTCGTGGTTAGGAATGGCAATGGGGCAGGTCCGGGGCGGGTTTCTTGGTACCCAGACCCGCCCCGTGGCAGGTCGGGTAATTTATCACGGGTCACGGGTCGGGGCAGGTCGACCCAATGGGTATGCAATTTATATGAAAAATATTAGAAATATTGGTTGTTTTTATTATAAGACCAAGGAAACAAACAATATTATGAGAAATATAGTTAAATTATTGGAGAAATTGAGGTTTTCACTAATTTACGTCTTTATTATAGCTAAGATTTGATGTAATAAAAGAGAAATCCTAAGTAATTTGACTAAAATTACGTGTAATTTAGGCAAGAACGAGTCGAGAATGGGGCGGGTCAAGACAGGTCGGGTCGATGAGAGTACCCATGCCCGCCCCGCCCCAAAACAGATCAAACAGGTCGGGTAAAACGGGTCAAGTCAAAATTGCCATCCCTACTCGTGGTCTTGTTTTGTACCTAATTCGCACATATTGTCTAATACACTCTAAAATCACATCGAAATCACATGTTTGACGTAAAAAATAGTGAATAAGACATGTTTGATAAAAATACATATGAAAGAGTTATATTATACCGATGGAAATTTGTAATTGACTAAATTGTATGCGCCCTAAGAGCATCCACATCAATGTATTTGCTCAACTGCAAATCCTACATGGCACTCAATATGCAATTGCAAAGGGGATTGCACCAATGTAGTGGGCAATTGCAAATATGCAAGCTTGCATTAAATGAAATTTAAAATGCAAGCCACATAGGAAAAAATAAAAAAAATACAAATATTTTTCTCTCTCTTGATTTATTTATGTTATAATTATAAAAAATAAACTCTCATATAAGTGAATTGCATTGATGACTCTCTAAGGTGCAATCGAATGGTGATCTTTGAAGGGTATGACGGAGGTGGTATTCAAGGGGAGGCAAAAGTAGTCATTGATAAGGTACGAGGTCAGGAGATACGTGATCATAGAGGTGGAGTCATCTCCGAGGATATTGAAAAATCCTGTAGCAGTATGGACGTTTTGTTGTGGAATTCATAGGCGGATAAAACTACCGGGCAACCCATTTGGTGGCTAAAACGACAATTTCTTTGTGTTCCTGCAAGTGTTGGTGGTTTTGATTTTCGACATTGACTTATGTTTTAGTTGTAAACTGTGGTATCTTCATAGTTCTTGGTAATACGAGTTAGGTAGGCCAAAACCATTCCGAATGGACCAAAATATTTTCATGGGCCCTTCTCTAGCCTCCAATCCGGACAAACCCATATTAAGAAAAAAGAATATTCAAAAATAAATGCTCTTCCGCTCTAGATTTCTTTCTCATTATACGAATCAATAACTTAAAGTAATCCGACCAACGAGCCGGGTAAAAGCCAATGAAAATATAAAAATGATATGAAATTAGTTTTGCAATTTCATTATTAACGTGGATGCTCTAATACTCCTGTGGCTTCCTTCCAGGGGAGCAAAAGTTTTCGACTCTATCCACGGGCCCCGTAGCCGTAGCTGGGCCTTTAGTTTCACCGACTTATTCTTGGGCCTCCTTGGGTAGAGTAGCGTTTCGCGCGTTTACTCCGGGAAGCTGTTGCTGATTATCCCCACGTGGCGCAATCCCCATTGGCTGAGACTGAAGCAGTTTGACTGCCGAATGGCAGAGAGAGAGAGTTCATGATCACGAAATCACGATCCCTTTCCACTGAAACAAACAAACTAAAGAAATAGTCCGTTGCTAGAGATCCGATCATACACAGTTCCTTTCTCCCCCGATTCCACCCTTTTTTGTTTGTGTCTTTTCAGTTCTCGGGATCTTTACGAAATTCCATTTCTCCGGCCGAGAATCAGAATGGTGGGAGAAACTGTTTAAAAACAAACCGCGTGAAGTTGGATTGAGTTCCGGCAGCCAGCCAATGTCGAGGAGGCCGGGAAATCCCTCCCGTCGGTACGGTGATAGCGGCAGCGGCGGCGCTCTTTTCAGTTCCAAGTCCCGCTCCCCTCCCTTCTTGCCCATTGCGCTCATCGTCCTCGTACGTTCGTTTCCCCCATTGATACCTCCTTTTCTGTCTTGCTTTTTTTCGAGTTGGGGGATTCTGATTTTGCCGAGTTTTACGCAGGGAGGATTGGCCGTTTTCACATATATCCACTCCGGAGGTCTGCTGTTGAATCTTCATTTCCCTGTACAGTTTTTTTTGTATGTAAATGTCTTCGGATTAGCAACCGATTACTAAAACTGTTCCATGTCTGGTTTAATTGGAGCAGGATTTGGGGCCAAGAAATCAGCTTCCATACGCCTTGAAGGTACGCAATGCTTGTTGCTTCTCTAATTCAACTGGATTTACGACACTTGGTAGGAAAATAACCCAGCAAACATTTCAAGGGCTTCCCTTCTGCTCAGTCATTGATTGATTCCCCAGTCCAGTGTCTACAAAGAAATTGGTTTACATGGTCATGTGCTGACGATTCGAATAACTTGTGCGCACTCTCGATTCTTTTATGGTACACTATATTCTACTCTATGTGCGTATGTGCAGATGACAGTTCATGCACGGGAGAGCTGCACAGGGCGATGCCAGTACTGCGGAAGGCATACGGTGACATAATGCACAGAGTGATGCACGTCGGGCCTGATACTTGTTCAGTGGTTTCCACTTTGCTGAAAGATGAGGAAACTGAAGCGTGGGGCGTGGAGCCTTACGATCTGGAGGATGCGGATGTGAACTGCCGAGCCCTTGTTAGGAAAGGCTTTGTCCGCGTTGCTGATATCAAGTTCCCACTTCCTTACAGGCCCAAATCGTTCTCCCTTGTGATTGTATCAGAGGCACTGGATTACCTCTCCCCAAAATACCTCAACAAGACCATCCCTGATTTGGCCAGGGTATCTACTGAGGGCATTGTGGCCTTTACAGGTATGTGGGTTAAACTCAAAACTTGCCCAACTAGATTCTGGTTTGAGCAATTCTTGCTGCTGCTAGAAGGCAAGCATTCTTCACATTGTTTGGCAATTGTTAGTAATAACCTGGCATTGATTTAAGACACTGGGGGAGATTCTACTGGAAATGCTCTTCTGCATTGTTAGTAACCATGTATTGCCGTTTCTGTCGATGATACTTTTATGCTTCAGCTAATATGAGCGATATACATACAGGGTTTCCAGGCCAGCGCACAAATAAAGCAGCTGATGTGTCGAAATTCGGCAGGGCGGTAAGTGTAACAAAATGTGTCTTCTTACTACTTGGTTATGGTCCAAAATGTAGTGTAGTGTAACAAGCTGATGTACCAAGAATGAGATTTAACCTTCTGTGTTCTTTTTTTTTTTTTTTTTTTCTTGCAGGCCAAAATGAGGAGTGCCTCTTGGTGGAAGCGATACTTTGGTGTAACAAACGTAGAGATAAACGAAGCAGCAACCAAGAAGTTCGAGCAAGCTGCTGCCAAAATGTCTTACACCCCAAGTTGCCAAATCTTCCACCTCAAAGCATACAGTTGAATGTTTTAGCAATCTAGTTTCGCAGTTCGATTTTCTCTTATACTTAGGTTATCTTTCTGGATCGGAATGGTCAGTGATTCAGTGGTCACAAAGTTTTTTGGTAGGATGAATTATTAAATGATCGGGAACTTCTTTACAACCATTCTAGATCCCGTACTCAGACAATTTCACATTATTTGTCATTTGATTAACTGATATTCAATCAAGTTTTGAGTATAGCATTTATCCTAAATGTTGGGACAGATGTAGTTGGCCAGCGTGGGTCACATTTTCTTCTCCGGGAGGATGTTAGGCAAGGTTGCTAAACCCTTATCGAATCTCCGGTCCGACCCGAGTCGGGCTTCAAAACGACCTCTGGAAAGCCCACCGGTCTGACCTCTAAAGAGGGAGAAGAAGAGATGGGGAAGAGAGGAAAAGGATTGAAGGAAGGGAGATGGTGGGTGGGTCATGGAGGTTAGGTAGATTTATTTTGTGAAAAATAAGTTTATAATAGATATATGTAAGATAAATTTTATTTCAGTCATTAAATCTTTAATTACTACCTTATTGTATTATATATTTAGAAAACGTCTAAAACGGCTCAAACCGGTCAGACCCCGATCAGACCATTAAACCTCAAACCCTTTGCTTGACCGGCTCAATGACTTAAACCGGTTTGACAACCTTGATGTTACGTGACCTCTGTCCTTTTACTCCCTGTGGCATAAATGATACTTTGGCCAATTATTAAGTCCTATACGAGCAGGGGCGGAGGGAGACAGTTAGAGGGTGGGTCCCGGGACCCACCCTGGCTCGGGTTAGAAAATGGTCAATTAGGTACAATAGTTATTCGGGTATGAAAAATAATACGTATTTAAATAAAATTGGTAGACCTTTGAAATATTTGATGTATGATTTATAACGAGCGTTGACATATTCAATACATTTATAACGAGCTATGTACAAATGATAATGATGTATATGATTCGCCCAAAATTGAAGATGTATGTATTTAATATTTACAACAAATTTCCACCAAATCATAATTCATTTGTAAAAATAATTTTATTTCAATCAGGGGTAGGGGGATTGTAACAGGTGTTTCCTAAGGACGAAAATGAGTAAATTAGTATAATAGTTAATTGATAATGAAATTTAAGGCACTTCTAATTGAGAATGGTTGACCGAGATATCATTTGTTCGAATCTTTGTAACCCCATTTGTTAAACACATGATATTCGGATTTACGTAAACTTTAAGCACACATAAGTTGGTTGTAGTAAGCAGGAAAGTGTTAGTAAATACTAAATAGTATTAGATTCGTTATTAAATCTTTCCTAACAACTCGAGTTAATGAGACTCAACGGTCTTGACGAAGAACATGATTCAAAAGAAAATGTCTAACTAAATCATAAATAATTGTTTGATACATATATGGTGATATTCTTGTTAGTTTTGACATAAAATTTAATTTACCAAGTTTTTGCAAATACAAAATTATATCATGAACGATTTGGAAAGCTAACAAAATTATTTTATCATATGTATTTTTTCTAAATGGACCCACCCTCGACAAAATCCTGGCTACGCCCCTGTATACGAGAGGCTCTTCTTTTGTTTGCCGAGACATGTGTTATGTTTCAGAATGAAGGGATGCTAGAAACCGACTTAATAATAGATGGGCCAAATCAGAGCTTACAAGTTTCACAAAACGCCCACAATAGGAAAGGATAGTAATCCGTCTATCTAGGCTTTTAATCTTTCTGTGGCCCGTTTTATTCACTGAAGGAAGGATAGTAATCAGTCTATTCAATTTTATCATTCTTCATTGTGAATCTCGTTTCGCTTCTTTCCTCTTTCCATAATCCATAATTGTCTCTACCCCAGATTGTCTTTCAATTAGTATGAGAGCCTTTCTTTGAGGAAGCTCACTGTTGCCAAAGGGTAACGATCATGGGAACAAACTCACCCGCTGCCTTTGGTCCTGCATTCAATCACAATCAACCATGGTTCAAAGGCTCAAATTACAATGCTTGGAAAAACACATGAAGACTTTCATGTGGGGAATCGACGAGGATCTATGGCTTATTTTCAGGGACGGAGGAGCAAAAGAGAAGTGCTCAGCTTAACTGTAGCGCTATGCACATTCTACAAACTGCCATTTCGTCTGACGAAATTGATAAATTGGAGCAGTGTGAAACAACCAAAGAGATCTGGACCATTCTTTAAGCAACGCATGATGGTACGTCAAATATCAAGAAAACTCATATCGACTAATTAATGCATGAATACGAGACCTTCGATATGCAACCAAGTGAAGGAATTCATGAGATGTATTCCAGATTCACTGGTTTGACTAATAAACTAAAGCGCCTGGGTAGAATTATTTCATTTTAAGGATATGGTCAAAACAATTCTTCGATCATTGCACAAGGAGTGGCTGCCTAAACGCACAACCATAGAAGAATTTAGAAATCTTAATATCTTGTATGTAGATGAATTAGTGAGGTCTCTCCTAAGTCTCCAACATGTGATCAAACAAGTTGGCAAGGAGGATGGAAAACGTAGAAAGAGTCTTACTTTTAAGAGTTCGTTCTTATGAGTAAAATTCGGATAATGATATCGATGCGGATTTTGAAAAGGAGCTTTGTTGACTACATAATTACACATGTTTTACCTTTCATTTCTTGATTGTTTAGCTTGGTGTTTATCGTTCTTTGGCCCATTTTATGCTAGGTTGTATTTTTTTCCCCCTTCATATTTCGGGTCCTAGTACGTGAATGGAGTTTAGACACAAGTTTCAGGTCAATCAAAGAGTGTTTGACAACTCAAAGGAAGAAACTCAGGCATGGCCCGAAGAAACACACCAAAAGATGAAAGAATGGATTTCCATCAAATTTTATGGCCAAATAATCATGTAGTTAGGGATGGCAATGGGTCGGGTCGAGGACGGATAGTGCATATACGTTACCCTACCCAAAGTAGTTCGGGTTTTACCCATGCCCATACCCACATAAGAAACGAGTAGGAAATCCAAACCATGCACATACCCGTTCGGGTTTCGGGTATCCACGGTTGTCCATGGATAATAATTTTTCTTTATAACTCCAACCAATACGTTAATATTTACACGTATTCTCACGTTACGTAAGATGAAAAGTACGACAATAATTCACTAGAGTGAAGAAAATTAATTAAAACAACACAATTTCATAAAAAATTATATTTATATGCTAAATATAAAGTATGTTAGAAAAAATATTGATTATTTCTAGACAAAATACATATGCATGTGTATAATCGGGAGGGTTCGGGTTGGATAGTGAGAAAATCATGCCCACTCATTACCCGCAATATTCGGGTTCGGGTTTTACCCGTACCCACTAAAAGTCATTCGGGTTCGGGTTTTACCCTACCCGATTAGGTCGGATTCGGGCGGATATCCATTGTTAAGGATATTTTTGTCATCCCTACATGTAATCTCATCATGAAAAGAAAGATGACGAGACTACAAGTGTCTGGGCGGCTGATTCTGAGTTTGGGCGAGGGAGAAAAGAAACATCAAAAGCAGTGCAACAGGAAAAGTGAACTACACGAGGTGGAAGGCAAATTCCCTTACGAGGAAATTTAAGGACAAAATAGGGAAAATTACAGAAGCTAATCCCCAGTCTGAACACCAAATTACCCTATCTAGGATCCCTAACAAGTGACTGAGGAATTCTCAAGTGTTAAATGCGTTTTTGTAAATTATAAAGGGGGATAACTGGGTTTTGGTCTTTTGGACTCCAAACGTCCAAGGGACAAACCCTAGAGAGAGAGCAACTTGGGGACATTCTTGGAGTGATATTGGAGGATTTCTTCACCATTGGAACTCGAAAGAACAAGCTTGGAGATGGAGATTGAAGATCTAGATAAGATTTATGTAGTCTCTCTCTTCTCTATGGAGTAACTTCCCTTCGCTTAGATTTTGAGGAACCCTAGCTATGTTTGTTTGATTGGACGATTGTATGAGAACTCTCTCTTGATTATCTTGATTTCAAATTCAATCTATGCATGTTTGGATGTTCAATTCTGCTTTAGTCGAGATTATTGATTATGCTTTGATCCTATGAGAGGGAATAACTGATTCAGTCAAGAGAGCACCATAGATTGATAGTCGACGATTGATTGTACGAGCGTCAATCGATTCCTTGCTATGTACTGATTGAGAACGTCATTTGATAAAGGGATTCTAGTGTAAGTTGTTCTGTAGAAGGATATGTCCCTATAGGCAATCAACTCAAGAGGACATTGATGCTTTAGTCGAGATTCAAGGTCTAGTCAAGGACTCTCCGAATTGTGAATGAAAGTGAATCAAGTTATAGATCATCAATTATTAATCTGGCTAGTGGCTAGGGGGAATCATAACTAGTGAGTCCCAACCTGTAATTAGTAGTCTAACCTAGTTTAGCTTGTAGAGTAGTTTAGTTAATTAAACCTTAATTTGATTTGCTAGATAATGAACCAAAACTGTAGTAACTCTAGAGACTCGTGTATTAGACATTTATTACTTATGCCACTATACTGCAGTCCATTTCATTGGTTACACTTGGCCACTGTTAGGAGTTTTGTTTTAACGAGTCAAGTTTTTGACGCCGTTGCGGGCAATTTCTAGATTATTAGGAAATGCATAACTTTGTCAATTTAGCTTTTATTTTACTTTTCCATCATTGCTTTTCACTTGGGTATTTTTTGTTTTGTATGTATGAATCATTAATCGTTATGACTTTTCCGACATGTAGGGGTGTCTACCAATACCCTGTTGGTATTACCCCCAGACTTCATGGGATAACCAGTATGGAGAAGGCAGACCATTTACTTCATAACCGTCGCGTGTAATTGTAATCATCATCATGACTTAAATAGTTACAGAAGAATCAATCTCCCACATTAGTATATGTTCATTCAAGCATAATTTATTTTCAAATTAATGATTAACACTGAAACAAGGAGAAAGGGGAGCAACAACATAAAAATAGTGGTGGGAAATGGAGGTATTGATTTGGGGTGGGCGGCTGGGCGCCATGGCCGTGGCAAGGTGATTAGTGACATTGCCGCTGCTCCAACCGCCGCCATCAGCGATGCGCTCATCCCCTTCTTCTCCCACCCACTACCATTGCTTATGTTTCCTTCCGGCGAACACTTCACACACTACCTCTCTTGGCCATCACCGGCGGCCATATACATCACCCAAGTCAAATAGATGAAAACCAGAGGTAATTGTAAATTTCAGGATTTGTGATGGAGAGATATATGGATGAAGGAAGAAGCTGTTATGGTGGCAAAGATGGACGCCATTTTTCACACTCTGGTCCTTGGAAGGTGGAAGGAGATGGGTTTGCTCAATAGTAGATGGCAGAGCAGGATAGGTGTAAACTTACTGTTTGTTCTCCCTTGCCCAGTCCGATGAGGCGTGCGATTGGTCGATATATTGTGAGGCAAATTTGTGGGCGGAAGTTAGGAGAATGACTAGATCGACGTCTTTGATTTCATCGCAGATTGTGGAGTTGCAAGGAGAATGCTAGGCGGAAGGATCGCTAGCCGTAGTGGTTGGAGGATAGGAGGCCGGAGGCTGGAGGGAGGCAAGAGAAGGGAAATGCCATGTCATACATTTTACGATCAATTAGGAGAGTTGACAGCCACATCAGCAAAGTTAACGGAATTGGACGGAGAGTGACCAAACTAGAAACGTTTAACTAATTTTAGTGACCACAAATGGAATTAAGTATTTTTAATGACCAAATGTGAAACTTTTTAGTAATCCAACCTTGCAATTTACCCATTTTTTTCTTCAAATACATTGAAAATGGATCTCATTTTGTATAAAAATGAACTCGTTTCATCTATGCTAAAAAAAATTAAATTCACGTTAGAACGAAAAAAAAGTTGATTAAAAAACTAGAAAAAAAAAGTTTTTAATTTCCAACCCTTAGATCTGAGACCCACAAAAAATGAAGGGCCCAAATCTTATTATGCAATGTTATGCACTAGAGCTAGAGGGTTACTAGCCCTATATGTAACCCTCTTCCCTCTTCTGTTTCCATGTCTCTCTTTCTTTCCTTTTCGATTTTACTTTTTCAATTGTCGCTTCATTATCCTCGTCGCCACCAACAAGAATCTGGGTGAGCTGAAAGCCAATGCCAGAGAAAATTCCTGTTTCGCGGTGGAAACTCTTGCAGTGTTATTTGATTGAATGCACCACTGACTTCTGAAACCAAGACGACCATCACTACAGTTCTCACATCTTCGAAGAATGTTCGAACGAAGGAGTTTGAGTTTTTGTGGGAATCAACGTTAAATCTAATCCTATGGAGATTTCTACGGAGAGCTCCGCGACTACACGCTACGACTACGCACTATGGGGATCCTTTCTGGAAGAAGAGCTCCGCGAAAGAGTTACAAAGAAAAAGGAAGTTTAACAAATGTATTTTTGTGTTGATTTGGTTGTCCTTATCTCTCCTTGCATCGGTAATTTTATCTAAATCACTTACATAGTCTTCACATTAACTCCTCTTTATAACTACTTCGTCAAACGAACTTGCACCTACCAGCCACGTGCTCCATCCTTCTCCAAGAAGTTGTGGTCTTCAACTGCTTTGATCTCCTCTCTATACTTCGCGTAAATCTTACGTGCAATAAATAACGCCTTCAACCTCATGGCATTGTTGAACTTGCGATGTTATTTATCTCACAACACAAATCTAGCTTACCCCACGACATCGTCAAACTCGTAACGTCGTTGACCTAGCGATATAGCCTAGGTCGCGGCCTTGTGGAATTCGTGGCCTCGTGTAGCTCTGCTATGTTGCTAAACTCGTAACCTTGCTGAACTTGCGGTATGGTAGCATACAACGATTTTGTTTATATTATCTTTCGACGCCGTTAGAATTACGATGTCGTTAACCCCGCGGCATCGTTGAACTTGATATTCCGCCATCCAGATATGGCTCACGACAATGTTTTGATTTGCGACATTGCTTAAATCTCGCGATGTCACCGACCTTGAGGTCTTGTTTAGCTCTTAATGCCATTGAGCTTGTGGCATTCTTAAACTCATGGCGGAATTGAACTCACGACATGGTTGAACTCGCAAGGTCGTTGGGATTACGACGTCATTGAGCTCACGGCATCGTCGACCACCGCGATGTTGCATCGTCGCAATACAGATTATTTTGGGTGTAAACAATTCCTCCATCAAATTCGCCAGCGAAAAGATTGAAAAACCTCCACAAAGAGAGAGAGAGCATAATGGGAGGTTGATGAGAGAACTATCCCTCTTCCTCTCCCTCCCCCCTCTCATTTAACTACAAAAATTAGATAGACCGCCACATTTCGGATCGACAAACATCGTCGTTGTCGACGAACACAGAAGAGATGGTGGTTACAGATGGAACTTTGGCGACGACCAACTTCAGTGATTCGAGAAAGAGAGAGGAGGCGTCGCTTGCCTTTGTTGATATGAAGAAAAAAATTCCAAAAAAAGTGTTAAAAGCCTTCAAGCTTCCTCTCTCAACTTCCGCCACGATTTGGGGTCAGTTAAAACAATACTTTTACCCCTCAATTTCTTCGCCCCCTACTGTTCAAAATTTTACAAACTGGTGCAAATGCATCGAGGTTGGTGTTTACTCCTAGTTTTTCCCACCTTTCCCAAATAAAATGATAGTGAAAAAATGGTCATGATGATAAAGAAAGATAAAGTTCGGGCCAGACAAAAATATAACAGATAAACTATTCCTTACAAAAAAAATTGTTCAACGTAGCTAACTGAATAATTAGCAAACTTTTGGTTGGGCTCTACTGTTTTGGTTGTATCAATTAGGGGTGGAAATTGGGTTGGGTGTGGTTACCCGCCCCACATTTTGCGGGTAACCACACCCACAAATATAGAATTATGCAACCCACAACCCGCCCCCGCAGTGGGTAGTGGTTAACCATTACCCGGTGCGGGTTGGTGCGAGTTGGTTGTGGATACCCACAAAAATTTCACATTAAATTTAATAATATGGTAATTAAATAGTGATGTTCTGTTTCTTCTCACACAAAAACATACATAAAAGAAATTTAATAAAGGGTTAAAGAAATTATAAATCTCTAATACAATAGGTTAGTGATTTGAAGATAACAGAGAGGCGGAGTGACTTGTTACTAGACAAACATCGTTGCATGTCACGACTCCTCAGATGGCAACAACAGCAAAACACAAAAGTGGCTCGATAAGTAGAGGCGCCCGCTTTTAATGAATCAATTATTCTCCACTCTCGATTATAGTATTGTATTGTTGGTAGCTGGTTGCATGTTGTGTTGTTCGTGAGTTCGTGGAGAAATGGAGATGAGTTTGGGTATCATACTAACCTTTATTGATTATTCCCCTCTTTTAACGAACCGATTAATTTATCTGACTATATCTATGGACCTGGTTTTGTTATAAAATAAACATATACCACACGGACAATGCTTATTTGATAAAAGTATCTCACATGAACATTGCGTATTAACTTGGTTTTGTTTTATAGAATAAGAGCATATTTGATTTTGGTAGCTACTTTAATTGTTAGTCTTCCAAGTTTCACAAACTAATATAACTAATGTGGTTAATGAGGGTTACAAAGTATTTTGAAGAAATAAATATAACTAATGTTGTTAATGTGGGTTGTGTGGGTAGTGGTTAACCACTAACCACAAAAATCAATATTTTGCTACCCACATCCAACCCACTATCCACAAATTGTGGGTATGGGTATCCACAAAGTGTGCGGTTTGCGGGTTACCCGCAACCAGCAAACCAAACTTCCACCCCTAGTATCAATGGAATGACTATTGCCATCATGTGTGCTACCCAGGGGGTCCGAATCCTATCAATAACTCATAGGTCAGTAACCATGCATAACCCAACCACCAGCCGCCACATCAGCACCCGTTGCCAGGCTCTAACCTTTCTCCTTTAATTTTTAACCGACAATTTCTCTTTCATTTTAAGTCGGAATTTAATTATTTTTTTGCACAAATAAATCAGATTAATTTTGGTCTTCAAAATAATATCCACTTTGATATATTTTTAGAACAGAAAAAAAATTGAGACATTTATTATCAGTTTATACCATGATTAGGGCTGGAAGTTTGGTACCGCTATTTGGGATATATCGAATACAGTACCAAATTTATCACTATTTGGTACTGAATATCAATTTATTTTTCTAGGGATTAGGATTGAAATTAAGTTTCGAATGTTATTGGTATTCGGGATTATGAGATTGGGATTGGATAACCAAAACTTAAAAATTAAAGAAATATAGCACACAACCGTTGTTTATTAATTCCTCCCTCTTTGACAACTCATATACCCCATCCAATCCAATTTTGACTTTCAAAGTTTAAATCAATCGTCTCTCACTCAATTCTTGTTATTTTTATAACATCGAAAAGAATACACTCTCATTAGTCATCTCTCGACCTTCAAAAATTTGAATTAAAGATTACGAATGACAAGAAATTGAGATGTCACCATCTCCCCTTATCCTTATACATGTCCTAACTCTAAGTGAACTCAAGACCCTTTGCCTAGCTAGTCTTTTTACCCTAAATTAGATTACATGCTCTAATTGTATATTTAATTATTAATTGCAAATACCGATTGGGATACCAAAATATTTAGGAATTGCGATTGGGATACTGAATTAATTTAGGGATTGAGATTGATTTTAGGGTGTAATTCAGTATTCGAGATCAGGATATCAATATCATACTGATTTCTACCCCTAACCATGATGATATTGATTGCTATTAAATAAGTGCAGTGTTGTCATGCCAGCTTCCTACCAACTAGTTCAACCGGGTACAATCAGTACCGGTCACACCGGTTGGAAAGGAGCAAGTATTTAGCTTTGGTCAAATCCAGTCAATGACGATAAGATTCTGTCAAATATGGGAAATCTGGCTGGTTAGACCAGAAACCAGAATTCAGTGTTACACACATGATATCCAAAAATATACACCCTTCATAAGATTTGAACCAAGTACCTCATACCTCATGTTCATTAATTTCAATTATACACCAACAGGCTACAAGCAACTTAGTTATATATATTATATATCTAATACTATTTTTTTAACAAATTATTATAAATATTAATAAATTTCATTTTTATATATTTTTAATTTTATGTATCTAATTGTTTCCTTTTAGTTACCAATTCTTAGCAACAAATTATTTTGTGTGAAATGATTCTTCTAATTGCTTTTTCACGATTAATTTTTATGAAATTGAAAATTTCAATTTTAATCAATGAAAAAAAAATCTATTTTTTCATATATTTTATTAAAATTGGCATAACCAACATGAATATTGACCGTTCCTCTATGCGAGAAAAATCTTCAGTGGGACGGGCTCACCACGTCACCCGTCCCACTTGGTGCACCCTACCAGTAGAAACAAGCCACGTGTACAACTGTTCTATTAATTATTTTTCTATCTGATTTTTCCTTTTTTTCTTCTGTCCCCTTCATCTTCTTCATTATGCTCCAACTTTGGTTCTGTTATATTAGGCTGGAATTAATCTCAGTCATAATCAGCTCTATAGCGTAGGATTGTGCGAACAACAGCCTGACTGCGCTCTCCCCGAGTTCCAATCCCATTTGCAGCATCGGCATAACCCCGATGATCGGTATCTTCAGCGTACCTCACGAGATTCTCAGAATTAATGACGCGTCTCAGACCCTTATCCTTCTGCGATTTGTTCGATTCCGCGCTGGACACTCAATTTGTTGTGCTCTTCTACAATTTGTTCCCCGCCGAATGCCGACATTCAACTCCTGACGAGTATTAGCGACTCAATTGCAGCGGTTAAGGGGATTACTTTCTACTGAGCGAGAACGTGCTTGGGGATTCGAGGATTCCGTCAGGATTTAATTGGGATCGGGCCGGAATCAAGTTAGGATGTCAGTGAATCGGACAACACTGGGGAGGTCGTGGTCGTTGACTCCGGCGACAAGCTGGTAGGAGTGATTTAGGACGGTGCTTGCATAAACTCTATGAACTCCAAGGGGATAGAATAGAACCAGAGCTGGAGCATCAAGGAAGAAGACGAAGAGAGAATAAAAAAGGAAAATTCGGATATGGAAGTAATAAATAAATACATGTGTATGTGGCTTGTTTCTACTGGTATGGTGCACCAAGTGGGACGGATGACGTGGTGAGCCCGTCCCACTGAAGATTTTCTCCCTCTATGCACCCTCCATCCCTAGGATTAGGAAGTAGGAACCAAAAAATTGGTTACTCGTTAGACCATCAACAATGAAATAGTCTAATTATTTCATTTATGGCCCCTACCGCCACCTATACAGCTTTTACAATTTCATTTCTTCACTTCCATTTTTTCTACATCCATAAAATCTATTTTCAATTTCATATGGTGGGATCTATTCACATTTATAATGCAACAAATAATTTATATACTCTCTAACCAATTGAAGTGGGCCTACTTTACTTCTTTCATATTAAATTTCATCTAATGAAATAACAAACTACAACATGAAATTGATAATGGAATCGTAAGTCACAATGAAATGGGCAAAAGAAGTGAATGCTCTAACGTTACGCGCACCGGCCGCGTTCTCCGCGCCACATCCTTATCTGGGCCCCACCGCAATGTAATGTAACTTCAAACGTCTTCCGCATTTCTGAATCAACTAATTAAATTCCCATTGTTCCAAAAAGAAAAGGAAAAAAAAAACAATTAATTCTCTCGACCGGAAAAATTAAAACTGCAAAAGCGCCAGCTCATCCCCATATAGAGAGCGAGAGAGACAGTAGAATCCACGTCATTTTCTGGCGGGAACCAAAAATTTGACAGCTTGCGGTCGGTTTGCTAACTTCCCGGGCAAGAGTTAAACCTGGTTGGGCCACGTGGGACACCCGACCCTATCGGCGACATATACTCGTACCACGTGGCATTCCCTCTCCCTCCAGATCTCTGCCCACAATTCTTCCCACCACGCTCTCCTTCGTCGTCGACATGCACCTTAATAATTATCCCAGCGATTTAAAAGTCCTTTATTATTATTATATTATGAAATTTTAAAAGTTTAATTTGTATTATTATATATTTCTCAGTGTGTCCACAATAATTCAAAAACTGTTGCGGAATTAGGATTTTGCCCCGCCCACCCGCCCTGGATTTGTTCTTCCCGAAACCCTTTCTGGATTCGCATTGCTTTTGATTCTGGATTTCCAGTTTCCCTTTCAGAATCGTGGAGTCCTATTTTATTGGTTGGATTACAAGGAAAGGAAACAAATTCATTTGAATTGAATGCCAAGTTAAAGTAAAAGAGAGGAGCCAAGGAGGCGTGGTAATGGCGTGTAAGCCTACCACCACAGAAATCCCTGATAACTTCCTGCTTCTGTGCCTTCTTCTACATCTTCGTGTTGAAGAGCCCTGACCTAACCGGTGAGTCCTCATTGATCCTTTCCCGCGTCTTTTTTCTTCAACTATATCTCGCCGTTTGTCCTCTATAGATTCGCTGTTTTGTTCTTGAATTCTCGTTTCTCGGGTATGGAATCTGTGCGTGGAAAAAGGTTTTTGAGGGGCATCAATGCTCTGATTAGGGCTCTGTACGCGTACTAGTACAGTGATTCTGTGTTTTGTGTAATGGTTGAGAAGGATTATACGCCGGAGAAGGAAATTGAGGGTAAGGTTTATTTAAGGAAATTAGGGATTTTTCGTTTTTTTCTCTCTTTCACACTTCATCGGAGTATTAGGAAATTCTCGCCGATTTTTTTTTTCTTTTTGCCGGCGTGCTCTTCCTGGGAGCCTAAGAACTTGTTAGTGTAATTGTGTAATGAGGATAGTGAATGAAATACCAGTGATGAAAGTGAGAGACATCTTTGATCATTTGGTACAGTTCTTCATTTGATGCATTTTCTTCTGTGTCAAGTGGTTTTGGTAGGGTGATGAATTTTGTTATTGTGTGCAGAATCTGTCACTAGAGTATGGACATTGCCGCCCTTTTGACTTCGGCGGGAATCAACATAGCTTTGTGTGTGGTGCTTTTCACACTCTACTCTGTACTAAGAAAGCAGCCCAGCAATAGGATTGTGTACTTTGGTCGGAGGCTCGCGTCGGTGCAGTTGAGAAGCAATAATGACGATCCTTTCTCCTTGGAGAGATTTGTTCCGTCTACTAGTTGGTTGATTAAAGCTTGGGAAGCAACTGAAGACGAAATTTTGGCCGTTGGTGGGTTGGATGGTGTTGTTTTCCAGAGAATTCTTGTATTCAGGTACGCTTTGACCTTGCCTTAAATTCTTAATTTTCACTGTGTTGTACGGTAGTTTTGTAGATTGAAGCATCTATCAAATGACCAGGCCTTTCTCCTTTTCTTTTCCCGTTGGTTTGAATTCTGTGTATGACTACCGATTCAAGCAGAATGTTTCATCCCATTGCACCAAATGCTTATCTTGCTGCCTTTCTTCTGCAGTATCCGGATTTTCTCGATTGCGGCTGTCATTTGCATGTTTCTAGTTCTTCCAGTGAATTACTATGGAAAAGAAAGGCAACATAAGCGGCTGGGCGCAGAATCATTGGATGTTTTCACAATTGGGAATGTACAGGAAGGTTCAGTATGGTATGATCTGTAATCAGATAGAACAGCGTATAGTGATTTACTTTTCGCAGCAACCGCACCTGCCATAATTAATTTCTCAAGCCTGAACTGTTGGCCCCTGTCTTTGGCTCATGTGACTGGGTCTAAAGTAACATAATATAACCTTTTCCTCTTCTGAACCTTGCTCAAGCTTGGCCAAACTGCTCTCTTCATTTTATTTTTATGAATAACTGCTCTCTTCATTTGTTTGTATGCACTGCCCATATTTTCTTTTTGAAAAGCAGCAAGGAGGACACATACATGGAATTTTACAGAAATTAGTCGCATGATATTCCGCCAGGAAAACAGACAATGAGTTGATCTAAAATTCAGAAAGATCTAAAATTCAGAAATATTGCTTTCTTTCCGATTTATCATGGGAAGTTTATGCAATTGACTGGTAATATGATTTACTACTTATTGGTTTACCAATTTCTCACTTGTTGTATTTTCAGGCTTTGGGCTCATTGCCTTGCATTGTACACAATATCCTGCTCAACTTGCGCCCTTCTTTACTTCGTAAGGAATCAAACATTTGCAATTTTCACTTATTTGTTTTCTTGCGGTAGCATGCAACTTGTTTCCCTTCAACTCACTTTTACATATTTATCAGTTCATCGTTGCTACTTTTTCCAGGAATATAAGAGCATCACCAAGATGAGGCTGGCACACTTAAAAGGATCTCAGACAAACTCTAGCCATTTTACTGTGCTGGTTCGATCAATTCCATTTGTTCCAGGAGAATCATACAGTGATACACTTAAAAAATTCTTCACCACGTACTATCCATCAAACTACTTGACTCACCAAATGGTACACCACTCTGGTGTTGTTCAGAAATTGATGGTGGGTATCTACAGTATTTTAATATAATGACAAAATTGTCATTTTCTCCTGGAGGATGTAATGGTACTTTTGTTTCATGATGAGGACATCATGATTCTTTTGTTTCTCGAGATTTTGGTTATTACTGTGTGATTATTCCCTGACTTTTATACACCTTGTATATATCTTACATGTGGTTCAGCTAAATGTTTTCCCAGTCATCTTCTTTTAGTTTGAATCAGTTGTTGTTGGATGTTGATTTCATTGCTGCAAATCTATCTCTTTGGATTGACAGTTTTTGTAATACTTGCTCTATATCATGTATAGGTTATCTTAAATACTGTGTCGTTCAAAATCAGCAAATTCTTGATTTATGGCACCTTTCTTGTGTGGATGACATTTATCAGTTTTCATCTCATTCCTTCCTTTAATAGTCTTTGTGTTCTTTCAGTCTGGCATATGAACATTTTCGTTGGAGGGGCATCACTAAATTTATGCAATTTGTGATGCCCTCTATGCAGAATTCTGCTATGTTTTCATGGCAAATAAGTTTTACATGCTTATATTATGAATAGAACAGACTGCATTAAGCAAATATGTAGTCCCCTAGGGGGTTATGTTTAGTGGCAATGAGGGATGAAACCATCTAACCTACATTGGGTTTCAAAGGCTGGGACATTACTTATTGACATAAATGACAAAAGTGTAATAGAGTTCCTCCTTATGCAGCTGCTTCTTGTTTGCCACTTTTGTCAAAGCTGAGATCTTTTGTAGTTTCTTTGTCGTTTTTAATTCCTTCTAATAAGTACAGTTTAGTCTGTATACATTCCACGACCTGTGGATTGTGCTTTCCTGGTTGGTTGAGTCTCATATGCAGTTGTGCATAGTGTACCAACATGCGGTTTAGGTTTTCCCCTGCATAATGTATCACATGCTTTAGCCTAATTTTGTTCTTTTATCGGAATGCTCTCCCTGTAGGATGAGGCTGAGAGGATGTGCAAGATGCTTAGTGCTGTTTCATCAGATGGAGGAAGTTTAAGGCCATTTTGTTTTTGTACTTCAAGTACACTTTCCTTTCACATTCTCTCTGACCAACCAGAAAGTGTTGACCAACCAGAAAGTGTTGATGGGAGCATCAGATATTCTGATTTTGAAGTTGCTCCACCAGATAATGTAAGCATCTTGACCCTGGATGTACTGCTTTTATGATATTCTTTCCCTTGGGATTTCAACCTAGTTTAACCGTACTTGTCCGTGGCAGCATCTCACTTTTTAAGAAACAAGTTTGTCATTCATCCTGTCGGCCGCATGATAACTTATTCCTGATGAGTCGATTATGTTTTTGCATAAGCACACGTATTGCCCAATATTATCATAGCAGATCTTGTAGTCGTTCCATACTTTTTCTGAAATTTTATGTTAGCTTTAATTGAGCACTGTTATTAATTAATAGATATATCCGAATAATATTGTTTTTGCTCAGATCTTTTAGTTGTTCCATACCCTTTCTGAAATTTGTCTGTTACCTTTTCATTTAACCATGTTTTTTGTAGATTTATCAAAATAATATAGTTCTGCTGCTTAGTGGTCTCTCTTATACCATTGGTGAAACCCTGGAAAAGATACAAAGTGATGCTTCATGCTGGGTCCTAAAATTCTAGATATGATCAGTTTACATCTGTGAGATCCAATGATGTGACGTAGGAGAGAACTGTCAGTGGGTGCGCAGGATCTCACGGATACTATAGTTAGGTTGTTTTGGAGAAGTTATTTTTGTCCGAGTAGTTATGTAGATATCCTTACGTGAATTAAGAAGGTATTCAAGAATCAATTTAATGATTCAATGACCACCTTCCTCTTTTGATTATTGTATGTGGATGTGAATTGCCATTTTACTTCTTTTCCTCGCTTTTTGTGTGTAGTTCACTTTGTATTCTACTCTATCTGGGTATTATTCTATCATCCGGTACATTGTTTGGCCTATTACTGGTAGAAATCCCAGGGCGATGGTGTCTGGTGCACTGGCACTGATATGTACGCATAAATGCTGATTATTATGTCAACCAGGCCTAAAGATGGATATATTTGATAGTACTTTGTAGTAATCCTGATTCAATGTCTCCTAGAAGTTCCCCATTCATGCACCCAGATCATATCGTAGCTAAATGGATGCTTCTTTATATTCGTTTTTATTGGTTACATACTTAGTTTCTTTTGTGTATAACTTATTATCTTTTCATTGTGGAAAAAATACTGATTTTCCTTGAGATCCTTCAGTTATCACTTACCGTATATTCAAAACTATTTGTAAAGTTGGCTCATTTGTTTTTGGGTTTCATTACAGGAGTGTCCTGTTGCTTTTGTCTTCTTCAAAACTCGTTTTGCTGCTGTTGTCGCCACACAGATGCTTCAGTCTACGAATCCTATGTTGTGGGTGACAGAACAAGCCCCTGAACCTCTCGATGTTTTATGGTCAAGCTTGTCTATCCCGTACAAGCAGCTCTGGCTCCGAAAGATAGCTACACTTCTGGCTGCTATAGTGTTCATGTTTCTGTTCCTTGTTCCAGTGACATTTGTTCAAGGCTTGACTCAACTGGATAAGCTATCAAAGACTTTCCCTTTCCTGAGAGGGCTTTTGAAAAAGTAAGTTCATATGCGGCACTGCTGATGTTTGTTGGGCCACTACATGCTTCTTTGTACAACTTGCACCCTTTTGGCCTATTGGACTAATTCCTTTAGCTAAACCATTTTGATCTCTTCACACAGGAACTATATAAATCATGTGGTGACAGGTTACTTGCCTAGTGTGATCTTGATGCTATTTCTGTATACCGTGCCACCAGCAATGATGCTATTCTCTTCTATAGAGGCACCCGTCTCCCGTAGTGGACGGAAAAAGAGTGCATGCTTGAAAGTCTTGTACTTCACCATCTGGAACGTGTTCTTTGTCAATGTTCTCTCAGGGTCCGTTATTAGTCAAATAAATGTCTTCTCCAGTGTAAGAGACATACCTCTGGAACTTGCCAAAGCTATACCCACGCAGGTAACCTTTTATTTCATTAGAGTTCAGTTCATTTTATTTTGCACTCCTGAAATTGTGACTGTTTTAGTTATGAACATCTATTGTCCTTTAGATGCTGATGATGCTAATGTTATTCTTACATAGTTTCACATCTCTCGTTTGTATGATCCGTCTATCATTTGGAATTTGATAGGCCAAGTTAACTAATGGGGCCAAATTGAAGGGCGGCATGTGGTCATTAAGTCGTGGTATTTAAGCATGCAACTCCATTAGGGACATCATAGAGAATATAAATGAATCAACACCGTAGTACAAAGACTTGTTTGTTAAATTCACTGTCCAAGGATGTATATGGTAATACAACTTAGTTCAGGGACTAAAAATGCCATCAACCCATACATCTTTCTTCAACATTCACGAATCTCATTCTACAAGAATACAAATTGGTATGTGATATCTCCATATGTAGTTCATCATGTTGGAACTTAACCCGAATATATGCAGGCAAGCTTTTTCATGACCTACGTTTTCACATCAGGCTGGACAGCTCTGGCTTGTGAACTAATGCAGCTCTTCACATTTGTCTGCAACCTGATCAAGAAGTTCATCCTCAGAAACCACGAAGATGCACACGATTGGCTTATGTCCTTCCCGTACTATACAGAAGTCCCGAGAGTTCTCTTATTCGTACTCATCGGCTTTACCTGTTCGATCATGGCACCTTTAATACTTCCATTTCTGCTGATTTACTTCTTCATGGCTTACCTCATATACAGAAACCAGGTACCCTATCCATCCATCCATCTGATCCGCTCTATCTGATCAAATCTTTCTTTTCATCTGAAAAACTGTATTTTTTCTGCCGTCCAGATGCTCAACGTGTATATAAAAAAATACGACAGTGGTGGATTGTTGTGGCCTGTCGTACACAATACGACGGTGTTTTCGTTGGTGTTGACCCAGATTATAGCTCTTGGGGTTTTCGGGATCAAAGACTCTCCAGTTGCATCCGGCTTTACTATTCCCCTCGTTGTTTGCACACTTTTGTTCAGTGAATATTGCAGGCAGCGGTTTCTGCCTATTTTTAAGAAAGCTTCTGCCCAGGTAAACAGACCTAGCCGATTAGGTTCACAGAGCTGTGTTTTCTTTTTGTGGTATTCTTCTCTTCTATAAGATCTCCCATTTGACAAAGTTGATCAACATTTATACAGGTTCTGATAGACATGGATAGAGAAGATGAGAATGGCGATAGATTCGAAGAGATTTACGATCGGTTACGTACAGCTTATTGTCAGATTCAATTAACTTCACATGAACTTAGACCGGGACGAGCAGGAACACGGGTAACTGATGCGACGGAGGATATTCCGGGTTCTGGGGGTCCAAAAACAGGTTCGTTTCTCCGAGGAGTTCTACGCTGGGCTCGGTTTATGTGTCCCTTGAGACGGGCAGAGTCGTAACCCCATGGCTTTTGGCTCTGTGGCTGTGTGAAGACGAGCAGCAGGGTAAGTAAAGCTAGGGCTGTCTGCAATTTTGAAGATAGCTATGGTCCTATGCCTTAGTGGTGGAGTCTTTTTTGTTTTTCTTTCTATTTTTGTGTACATAAACTTCTCTCGATTGTTTTCTGTTACTCCACATTCGGGCAGAATTGCCACATCTGACACCGTGATCAGGTAGCAATGTTGGAGTAGCAGTGGTGAGGGGTTTTCTTTGTACAGGGCAGAGGTGATTGGGAACTTGGGCAAGTGTAAGTTGAAAGTTTTATATCAATATATAGAAAGTCCTCAGAAATGAAGTGCTACAGACAGACAAATTAATCTAGCTGTTGTTGCTGAAACGCTTTCTATGAAATGATAAACCAATTGAAAGGTTGAGCAACCGACGTTTCTAATAAAATGTTGAAGACGCTGATGTTTGTGTGACCACGGTGGAGCTACGATGCCTGTCGGGCCGTAACCCATTAGCCCATCCCACGCTTTGCCGATGGCGCCGTGCTTTTGGACGAGGAGTAGTGTGGAAGAAAGATTCATAGGTCTCGTTCATTTCCCATTCTATTTTCTATGATTTTGGCAACAAAAAAAATGAAATTTGGAGGAAAGGAATTTGCTGAGAAACGATTTCTGAAAACCTATTTAGGTAGAATTTTTGGTGAATCTAGAAACTATATAAACAAAAGACATTCTCAAATGGTATCGTAAATCTTCCAATAGAACATCTTCATAGTGTAGAAGCTCTGATAACTTCTATCAAGCTCGATTACATAGTAATAAACATAATAGTTGTTTTAGGGGTTAATGTCATGTTTAGTCACCGAAAAAAATTAATATCAATAATGGTCATTATGTTTAGTAAAACATGTCATGTTTGGTCACTCTCTGTTAACACCGTTAGTATTTTGATGATGTGGCAAACAGAAGTGATGACTCACCCAAAGTTAACTTTGGAAAAAAAAAAACTCGCCCCACCACGTGAGAAAACATGCCATGTCACCAATAACCAAATCTAACCATATTTTACTCGACCCTCTTCTTCCATCTTCCTAAACTTTCTCCCAAACCAAATCAAATCCACCACTCACTCACTCTGATTTCAAATCTCTTTCATCAGCTAACTACACATTACTTACAGCACACAATAGTTTCTAAGGAATCAAAATTTCCAACAACAAAACCATATCCAAAAGTGATAGACAGTCGACCTACAACAACGGAATTTTGATCTGGTGTTGGGCGACCACGGGCGCCGGAGGGGAGTACTAGAAAGCCTGCAAGGCGAAAATGTTATGATACTGGGATAGTCTATTAGCTATCGTGTGATACTAGAAATCTTGTAAGGCGGAAATGTGATACTGGGAAGCCTATAAGGCGATGAGCTTATATAAAATTGTGAATGTGAATGATATGATTATGTGAATAGATATGCGTTAAATGATTGATAATACTGCTTGATACTTGTGATGTGACTAACTAAAGAATTGTCTGATCACCTATATTAAACTTAAAGGCGCCCGTTGTGTACTCTATGATACGAGGGTCCAACCGATCGGACACTTTATGCCAAAAGAAGCAAAGTGATATAGGGTCCGACCGGACCGACACAGGTGCCAAAAGCTGCGAAATGATATAGGGTCCAACCGGCTCGGCACATTGTACCAAAAGTTGCGAAGTGATATAGGGTCGGACCGGCCCATCACTTGATGCCATAAGCTGCGAGAGTGATATAGGGTTCGACCGGTCTAGCACATGGTGCCAAAGGCTACGAAATTATATAGGGTACCGGCCCGACACTTGATGCCAAAAGCTCCGAGATACCTGGGGGAGTACACGACGTGGCAATATAATGAAAATGCATATAATGAACCTAACCAACCGTGTGTATGTGTGTCTATGTGTGCATGTGTGCATGATTGATCATTGGAATGTGAATGATGTGCTGAACTATTTATGGGCATGACTGAATATGCGTGAATTGATGATGCTTAGTATCATGTTGTGTGTACCATGTGATGTTGATTGAGATAAATGGATGTGAATGAGATGATTGTGTCTTAGCATCGAGATATGATATAATGATGTTAAATGTGTGCTAAATAATGTGACTGATACTGAATGGAAAAATAAGGTGTTCTATCACCGTGGAATGTGAGTGTTACTGGATAGTGATAGAGAGGTGTTATGAACACCTAGAGATTGTTCAACCATCATGTATCATGAAATCATAACTGAACATTGAATGTTATAAATTGGAACCATAAGCAACAAGAGCTAGAAGTAAATGATAAGTAACAAAAGGGTACCATGCAAAATAGTGCTTATGTATTGTTGTTCATTTAGATTTAGAATTTACTCATCGAGCGACGATTCACCCTTCGTCAAATATTTTTTCCCAGATCGAGAGTAGTTGCGAGAAGTGATAGAAGTAGAAGTTGTGGCTTCAAACTTCAGGTTTTGATTCATGAGGTGGGCGGAAGAGTGAACATGTTTCCACATGAAATCTAGTGTCAAATTGTTTAGCTTTTTTTGCACTTGATTTGTAAAGTTTTTAATTGGGCCCAAAAATCTTTTTGAGTTTTATGTACTCTATATAATAGTAAGTATTCTGACATGGTGTTACATTATGACCAAGGCTCTCAAACTTGATGCTTTTGAGTATCTGAGAACTAAGTTTGGAGTGGAGGAAATGGTGAAGCACAATGAAAGAGGACATATTGAAGATGAAGTGAATTGAAGCCTGTTGTCTGGCTTGAGCTCAAGGGAGGATTTTTCAGTTGAAGAACAAGCGTAAAAGATCAAAACTGCTTCGTTTTGATTATTGTCTAGTTGATTGAATCTAATATATGATTATCTTTTGTAAAAAAAATAAAGATTAATGTGTAGTTGGTAGTAGGGATGTCAATCCAACCCGTAATCATGGGTACCCTACCCGACCGTAACCGATCAACGAGGGTAATTACCCGCTTTGACGGGTTAAGGGGCGGGTACGGGTAATACATGGTTTCAAAATAAAGGGTAGGGTACGGGTATGGTAATCGACAATACCCGCCCCGCTAACTAAAAGTTGATTTTCCTAGACCCTAACCCAGCACCCACTGCCCGACACTACCTAACCAGAAGTGAGAAGACAATCTGGCCAGTGGCCACTTCTCCCCAAGACCCCAACTTTGTATCTAACCTAAAATCAAAACCCTATTCCTAAATTGTAAGCTCTCCCCGCCGCCCTCCAGCCAGCCAACACCCACGCGGCCACGCACACTTCACAGACAGTCCAAATCGTGCGCCGTTTGCAAGGAACTTCGCCGGCCGCCAGTCCCAACGGCGTCGACGTCGACGTCCTCCTCTCGTCCTCTCCCCTGCTTCCTTCCCGGTTCGTGCGCCATTTCCCTGCTACCCTCTCCGTCGCGCGTCGTTCCCAGCTACCCTCTCCGTTCGCGCGCCGTTTGCAAGGAACCTCGCCGGCCGCGCGAATCCGAACAGCGTCGACGCGTCGTCTGCCTCTCGCCCTCTCCCCTGATTCCTTCCCGGTTCGTGCGTCGTTTCCTTGCCACCATCTCCGTCGCGCGCCGTTCCTCTCGCCAAATCTCCACCGTTCCAGCGCACCTGCTCTCCCCTGTTCCAACGCGGCTCGCCAGGTCTCCCCTGTTCCGCAAGCATCCCACGACGACAAGCATCGAACAGTAGGGTATTTTTGGCTTGATTCCCTTTGTAATTAATCTCGCTGGTCATGTGCTTTTCTTGATTCCCTTTGTTAATTAATCTCTCTGTTTCGTACAGTAGGGTGTTTTTTGTACAATATGTATGTGCATATATGTGTATAAGTTCGTATTTTAGGATTCGTACTCATGGTTACCCGAATACCCATGGTTACTCGGTGGGTAGGGTATGGTTATATCATTTTCATACCCGGTGGTTATTTGGTCGGGTATTTTAGGAGGCTCTATCCGGCGGGTTAGGAGTTGGTATTAGGGCTGGGAATCCAGACCAAACCGTATGGGAAACCGCGGTCTAGACCGTATCGTATGGTTTGGTCTGGACCGTGAGACCAGAACTATGGTCTGGTCTGGTTTGCGGTCTCCTCCTTTAGTGCGTGGTCTGAAATGGTCTGGACCGCGGTCTACCGCAGTAAACCGTAACAGACCGCGACATACTACCTACTACCTTGGACAAAAATAACACTAAATTGAACCTCCATATGTGTATTTGAAGAACAAAGTTAGTTGATTCTTCATCTAGTTGAGAGCCAACAAATTGAAAATTGATCGCTTATATGTTATCTCCTTATCAAAGTACCACACAAAAATTAGAAAGACTTATAAATAATATTCACAGATAATGTCTAGACTATGGAGTCGATAAAAATTAAACACTACAAAAAAATTCGTTCACCTTGATGAGATAAGGAAAATTATTGAGGGATATGCGACCATCTTAGTGGTTCGAAATTGCCTCGACGTCATCAAAAAGGTTATCAACTGTGGAGAACCTTCAGATCACTCGAGAGAGGAGAGAAGCGGTAGCACAAAGAGGAATAGGGAAATAAGGCTATTTGAAAATTGAAAAAAAACCACTTCTATCCTCATATTTCTTCTCATTTAATACGATCACAATTTTTTTTGTTTCACTAGCATATTGGTCACTAGATTTTTTTTTATAGATACCGGTGAAGGGTTGGAGGGCGAACAAGAGTTAATTTTTTTTTAACATGGTCTGTCTGGTCCAGACCATACCGGACCGCACCGCACAGGTGTGGTCTGGTCTGGACCGTATAGTATATGGTCTGGTCCATGGTCTGTGTTCCAACCTCTCGGTCTGGACCACAGACCGTATCTATGGTCTGGTCTGGACCGGACCACACCGTTTCCGGAAAAAATCCCAAGTTACACATGTTTTTAAAAAAAATTCTCAAAATACACATGTTATGAAAATAATTCCCAATCTACACATGTTTGGGCCTTCACCGCGTTAGAGAAGGGCGGTGATTGCTTCACCGCGTGAGAGCAAAACGGTGATTGCTTCACCGCGTGAGAGCAAAACGGTGACTGCTTCACCGTGGGAGAGCAAAACGGTGATTGCTTCACCGCGTGAGAGCAAAACGGTGAAGCACTGAACTGCGTCCAAACTTTAAAACAACGTAACTTTGTGCTCGGTTATCCGATCGTAGCGAATTTTTTTTGATTCCGCATAATTTTTCGAGATCTTGCAAACCGCAAACGGCCGAAGGCGGTTTGGTCCCGCCTTCGTCTCGAAAAACCCTCGTTTGCTACCCCGAATGAGCCTTTTTTCGGAATGTACTTGGATTCCTGAAAAGGGAAGGTAAAGTTATTCCCAAAACCCCTTATATCCATAAATAATTCATTTTTTGAAAATTTTCTCCTACTAAAAATTTTAGTCCTTAAAAAGTTATGCGGAATCAAAAAAAAATTCATGATTTTTGGATTGTGGAGCACAAAGTTATGGTCGTTCAAAGTTTGACGAAATCGAAAAAAGGCTCGTTCGGGGTAGCAAACGACATTTTTTCGAGACGAAGGCGGGACCCGGCGGTTTGCGGCTTGCAAGATCTCGAAAAATTATGCGGAATCAAAAAAAATTCGCTACGATCGGATAACCGAGCACAAAGTTACGTTGTTTTAAAGTTTGGACGCGTTCAGTGCTTCACCGTTTTGCTCTCACGCGGTGAAGCAATCACCGTTTTGCTCTCCCACGGTGAAGCAGTCACCGTTTTGCTCTCACGCGGTGAAGCAATCACCGCCCTTCTCTGACGCGGTGAAGGCCCAAACATGTGTAGATTGTGAATTATTTTCATAACATGTGTATTTTGAGAATTTTTTTTAAAAACATGTGTAACTTGGGATTTTTTCCACCGTTTCCCACCCCTAGTTGGTATAGGGTAAACCCGCATCCGACCCTACCCATTGCCATCCTAGTTGGTAGTCATTCTGGTCTTTTGCATTTATGGTCCTTAAGGTTTGTTTTGTGTGAGTCAGGTTCAAGTCGAGTCTCTTAGAGGATTTTAACTTGACGACCAAGTCTATTAGGTTGTTAGCTAAGTTAGTGGTGTTCTGTCAGCTGAAAACAAGGGTCAAGGGGCTAGTAGGATTAGTGGAAGTCAAATTTGCAGGCTGAAGCCTTTTGTACTTAATTTGGTTGCTTTCATTCAATGAGAATTTGTCAGTTTGCCCCTATTCGAGTTCACATATGCATGTAATAGGCTTAAATCTTTTGATTTTTTCAAAAACTGAAGCGGTTGCAATAAAATTACTGCAAAAGAGGCTGTTGATTTCGTTGAAGTGCCAAGAGACTTCTGGTTTTTTTATATTTATTCTAGAGCAACATCAAGAGCCTACTGTAGAGTAAAATGTTGGGTTGTAACCCCTTCGTGCCTCTACTTATCAGTTTATCGGTTGATGGTATAACTGATTTCTAGAACCAGTTATGCCGTAAACCGGCGGTGTCCAAAAAACTATACTTGGTTTTATCAAATTCTTCCTAGTTAGTAACCGACGATTAACTGGTAAACCAAACAACTGGAATCCACCATCATTAATGCTTCACAACATCTCCCTTCTCCTTGTCTGGCGATTCACGAATCCTTCCCTTCTATCCTTCTCTTCCCCATAATCACCCTGTCCTTCTCTTCGCTTTGTCTTCTCGGTGGCGAGATTGATTGAGAGGTGGGTGTGGGGCTGTCTGATGGATCGTGGAGGCCATATTCCAAACTTGAGACGTGGTCCAAATTGACTTTTAACTATAATAAAACTAAAATGATTATAATACCATTATTCAAAATGTAATATCTTTCTATATTGTTTATATTAAAATTATCTATTATCTCTTTGATTTTCGTATTCTCCATAAGATTTTTTTTCAATTATTACTATAACTAAAATTATGTATTAAACTCGTTATCATACTCATAATCAATCAATCATACACTAAAATACAACCTCTTGGCCGGCCTGGCGCCATGCAGTTGTCTCCCTCACGTGGCGGCTCTCTCTTCCTCTCGGTGGCGAGATTGATTCTCCTCTCAAACTCCGGAGATCATTAGAAGTGGAACTTTGGCTGGGAATCGAAACGAGCGTCGAGATCGAAGACAGAGCGGAGGGACGAGCCGGTGGAGATGGCGTGCCAGGACTTGCAGACGGGCATCGCTCCTCACCATTGGTCTTCGACGGAGATCCTCGAGAGGACGGTTACCAAGCTCCGCGCCATAGAAAGTAACCGAGTTGCTAACCGGTAACCAGGTTAACCGACTATACCCTAGTACCGGTAGTCGGAAGCAAATTACAGTTGAACTAACCGATTACCAGCCCTGTTTTGTGATTATGTTTAATTGGGTTTAATTGGTAGGCTTGAAACTGCTGCTCTTTTGGAAAACTGAAGCTAGTACAAGAGAATTACCGGAGAAGAGGATGCTGGATTTTAGAATGCCAACAGCGTTCTAGTTTTTCGATTCTGCAACAGCCATATCAGTACAAGTTGCAATAGAAAAAGGTGACTGAATTCAATTCATCGTTCATGGTTGAATGAGAGGAACTGCATCATATCAATTCAATTCAATAGGCAAAGAGGAACAAGCACAAAAACATGTGCCTAGAGTCCGGAGATGAGGTTACAACAGGCGGAAGCAACATATTTTAAAAAAAAAAATATATTTCTGTAGAAACATATTTTATAACTTGGAATGTGGAAAATCAGAAGAAGCTGTTGTCTATGATTAAACAAATAAATCAGAGAAAAATGGAACTTGATACTATTATTCATACACACTGTTGAAAAGATACTAACATAGAAGGCTTCATGGGATTGGCTCGAATCATCTGTATTCCATTCGAGTGTTCCAGTCAGCTTGAACTTCCAAGATGGGATATGCAGACGATTTTCTGTCGAACAAATACTTTGATTTACAGAGTCAGATAGAGACTAAATCTAAAAATTATGTACTGTGCCTCACCCTCACTCTTCTCAACTATCTCTAATGTTTATGTGGTCAATTTAAGTTGGGTTCTTTTGAATATAAAGTATATATTACAACTTCAAGACAGGTATGTATTTCTAAACAAGTCCCTTCCTTCCTGGAGCTTCATCTCACCACCATACTATTACTAGTTTCCAGAGTTGTGACATTTCTGCCTAGACAACACTGAGTTGACGACCTTCTTTGTTCGCCACGGTGGCTGCTTTCAACTCATTACGGCGGTTTATGAACTTGCTCAGCTCCTGCCGTTCACAATACAAAAATGATCAGTATTGCAAGCAGAAAGAATGCAGAGTAGTGCAAGCGTTGAATGAGAACATGATAAAAACAAGGGGAAGAGATCTGAACACTGAAGAATAAAAATAGTCATTTCAATGACCTGGGAAAATAACCACTGTAGAAACCTACCAAACTCATCCGAACAAAAAGAGATTCGCGGCTACGAAAAAGAGTTCCTTAAAACTACCCTCGGGTTTTCAAAGAGTGTGCAGCTGAGATTCCAATACTTATTTTGGAACATGAATAGCTCAGCTCTTAGTACTTTCAAGAGAACAATCCAAGGAATGGTGGCTTGGTTACTCAGAAAGAGAAATGAATCAACAGCCCACGTCCATGTTTTAAAAGCATCAAATGAAAACAATCCGAATGAACGAAACTGAATCCAAATGGAAGGATCAAAACCCAAACAAAATTTCCCCATATCCGCACAAGTGAGCAAGCCAGTAATCAACATTCCGGCAGACAGGCAGGCCCTGTTTGTTTGTAGCGGATACCGGAACAATTATAGCGTCAGCTCATACTCAATGTCTACTTTCAGTAATCAGACGGTGGTAATCAGTTTAATTGACGCAACATTGAAATGGCCAGGCAAGTTGCAAAAGAGGAAGACAGGATAAACTTAGGTCTGCCGCACCCATGTTTAAAAGCTTGAAATGAAAACAATCAGAATAAATGAACTGAATCCAACTGGAAGGATCAAAACCCAAACAAAATTTCCCCATATCCGCACAAGTGGGCAAGCCAGTAATCAACATTCCGGCAGACAGGCAGGCCCTGTTTGTTTGTAGCGGATACCGGAACAATTATAGCGTCAGCTCATACTCAACGTCTACTTTCAGTAATCAGACGGTGGCAATCAGTTTAATTGACGCAACATTGAAATGGCCAGGCAAGTTGCAAAAGAGGAAGACAGGATAAACTTAGGTCTGCCGCACCCATGTTTAAAAGCTTGAAATGAAAACAATCAGAATGAATGAACTGAATCCAACTGGAAGGATCAAAACCCAAACAAAATTTCCCCATATCCGCACAAGTGGGCAAGCCAGTAATCAACATTCCGGCAGACAGGCAGGCCCTGTTTGTTTGTAGCGGATACCGGAACAATTATAGCGTCAGCTCATACTCAACGTCTACTTTCAGTAATCAGACGGTGGCAATCAGTTTAATTGACGCAACATTGAAATGGCCAGGCAAGTTGCAAACGAGGAAGACAAAGATAAACTTAGGTCCGCCGCACCCATGTTTAAAAGCTTGAAATGAAAACAATCAGAATGAATGAACTGAATCCAACTGGAAGGATCAAAACACAAACAAAATTTCCCCCATATCCGCACAAGTGGGCAAGCCAGTAATTACATTCCGGCAGGCAGGCCCTGTTTGTTTACCAGCGGATACAGAAACAATTGTAGCGTCAGCTCATACTCAACGTCTACTTTCAGTAATCAGACGGTGGCAATCAGTTTTATTGACGCAACATTGAAATGGCCAAGCAAGTTGCAAACGAGGAAGACAAAGATAAGCTTAGGTCTGCGATTCGACTTACTCTATCGGCAATCCATCTCCGACGTCATCTTTGACGGCTTCACAGCTCTCTTCCCTGCAGAAGAAAAACAAACCCAATCAAAGAAATGAGAAATCTCTACACGACTAGCGGTTAGTCTCGTAAACGAAGATGATCAATTAGCTCGAAATAAATGGAATGCTGACCTTTGCGAATCTTTGCAGCCTTGCCATGGCAGCTGGGAGGAATGGTTTTCCTCTTCTGTTGGCCTTTGAAGAGGCCAGACTTTTGAGTCATTTTCTTCCATGCCCACTCTTTCAGAGCGAAAGGTTAGGGTTTACCACTAGAGTTTGGTGGCTTCTGTTCTATGGCGGCATCTAGGGTTTGGTGCTTATGAAAGGCTGCACAATCTCTTAATATATAAGCGTTTTCTTAGGGGTAATTAGCAAAAACGGTCACAAACCTTTGCATTTAGTACAAAACGGTTGCAAATCTTTCATTTGAAATAATACTGCAGCAAAAGTTTGAAATTGTATAAAATTATCACTTCTATTTAATTTATGATATTTTTGTATTAAGTGCAAAGTTTTGTTACTGAGTCGTTACATATTAAATGTGTGTGCCCGTTTTGAGGTTGGGTCGTGTGTTCGTCAAGTATATGACACAAACCACTTGAACGACATATAAGATGCCAGGTCGTGTGTTCATCGATATACTTGCTTTGTCGAATAAGGATGCCCTTTGTTAACCTTTCAATATTGATGCCAAGAAAGTAAGAAAGTAAAGTGAGTTTTTTCAACTAAAAGCAGCATGTAACCCGTTTGTGAGGCGTTGAATTCCCTCACTGACTTGCCACGGATACACCGCGATTTAAATCTCGACTAGAGCTCAAGCATAAACTCTAGCCGGGTGCAATATAGGGAAATTATGCTTTAATTGTCAAGCCCATGTCGGTCCATGTACTCCTACTTAATCGTTTAGTTTGTTATCTAGCAAACGATTTTGGGTTTTAAACTAAGAAAACTACAATATACACAAACAAGGAAAGTAAATCGAGAAGAATTATATATGAGAGGACTTCACTTGGGTATTGCTTCCCCTAGTCTTGTGCTAAGAAACAATGAACAAAACCCTAGTGTGAAGGACGTGTTCATACACAGTGAGACGGGTGCAACTAGGTAGGAACAAGCTCTTCTAGTCGATCGATCAAGGATTACCACAATAAGCTAGAGAACCTAGTTCTCTTAATCGAACAAACCGAGGAAACCCTACCTCTCTTAGTTGACCAATTAAGAATTGTTGCATTAAGTTAGTAGACTAACTCTCTTAACCTTTTGGCTAAAGATGACAACAATAGGCTAGGCAATCTAGCCCTCTTAACTAACCAACCAATGATTGCAAGACCCAACCCTCGAAAGTTAATCCAGACGGCGGAGAGACCAATCACGTCAAAATCATGGTACTACTCCGATACTTGAGGTTTCGGCCCTAGATCAACCCAAAAGGGGTTACCCAAGTGGCTAGGAGATCAAGCTCCCTATGGGCCAAAGGGGGTTTCCACATTCTAGGTTAATTTGACCCAATAATGAGATAATGCAAGCAACGCTCACTAATCATGATTAATTTAAGGTTTGTCCTAATTTGCCTAGGTGGGTGACACAAATTGGCCAAGGATCCAACTTCTCAAAGCCTCTTTCAACAAGGAGATTCTCTCCACCTAGGTCAAAATGACCCAATCATGAGTTAAAGCTAGAGCATTCAATCATCCATGAAAAAATACCTCAAATATTATATAAGCATTCAATCAACACACATGAATTCATGTTCATACATCCTAACACACATATAGACTAGGATTCGCAATACCCAAGTGAGTAGGTAGACTATTCCATAGCTAGGCAAAGGAAAACAACAAAAAGGAGAGAAAAAACCATAAAGAGATGAGTGTCTTCCTTCCTTGATGCTTGAATCTCCCTTGGGAAGAGGAAACTTTTAATCCTCTAGTTTAGGGCAAGCCCAAATCTCTTTATTCTTCCTTTGAATGTCACTTTCTCTCTCTAGAATAGGAAGAGGAAATCCTAATATCTCACTAGAACCTACCAACATCCTCGTCTTCTCCTTCAGCTCACATCCCCTTTTATGCCCAGATCAACGGCTATTCATGGTCTCAGTTCACGCTCGTGAACTATAAGCCCTGGACCGTGATCTCGGCCAGAAACACGTCATTTCATTGAGGCTCTTCACAGTCTGGGCGGATTTTTACGGTCGAGGACCGTGAACTGGTCGAGGTCCAGTGAGGCGGTGAGATGGACGTGGACGGTGGAGATTGCTAGTGTACAACATACCACAATATATGTCTGGTGTACAATATAAGTCAGTACTAATAATCTGGAGCATACGAGTTTGACCCTAGAGAGAGACGACTCGTATGCTCCATATATTCGCTAACCGGATATCACCCCTATGTATGGATACAATTTTAATATTTTACTCGATTATTGTGTGGTATGGATAAAATTCAAAATCTTTTCAATAGAGTAATTGTTATACACTATCCGCTGCAACCTTATCGTTTTCATCCATAATGCCAAGTCCCTCCAAGAACACCTTATCTCCGCATTGAAAGCTAATAGATCACAATCAACCGAAACGAAGTCACTAGTATATAGCCATGACTCATAACTAAGCATCAACAGATAACCAAAATCTCCATGGAAAACTTAAACCTAAGAAAACCCCAAAACTTTATATGCAAGAAACTCTTGCTAAACGAAAGAAAAATAAGGTTCCATGTACCCGTTTTCTTCTGTATCAATGGGTTTGCTTGCCGTTTTGGTATCCAAACATCTACAAAAAAAAACTATAAGCGAATGTCAAAATACTACATTCGCCACGTCAGCTCCTCCTTAATTCAAATTAGCACAAGACTGCTCTATTGCTGTTGCATTGTTTACTGTATTAAGGGCCAATTTGACGGTGTGGTTTCCCTTGGTCTGCCACAATCGCAACATTATTCTCCTACTTATGTTAAGAACAGTTGGGTTTCATATTGTAAATACTCCTCATTTTAGTGGTTTGCACATTATCGTCTAGCTTTATATTAGGGAGAATTCAGTTTGAGACTGTAGATAGTTTGCTCTATTGTGTTTGGCCCATCATTCTATTGCTTCATGGTAATGAGAATTGGTGTTTCAGAATGTAGCGCTGAGATGAGGAAGCTGCAGATTGAATTCTTGATGTGCGGCGGAAGCTTGCTTGCTGTAGTGAGAAGGATGCGGTGGCAGTGTCTTCACAGCGGAGGGAATTAATTCCTCTCTGCGTAAACATTATCAGTCGATCAATCTCTGCATCGAAGACGACTGTTATTAGGTCATAGATCAATCACTCGCTGCTCGCATTAAAAATGATCCCCATCGTAAATGAAGTTTTGCTATTTTAAATGAGTTCCCGTTTGTTTCAAAATGCATATTGAAGCAGCAGTGTAATTATGGGTCTAAATCTTGCATCACGACTATATTTACACCACAACTATAAAATACTTTGATGTGTTGATATAAGAAGCAAGTTTTGTTTCTAACGCCAAGAAAATCTTCCTCATCATTAGTACTATGTTCCTCTATTCTTCTATCTCCTTCCCTGCTCATATTTCCTTGGTTCTGCTTTTGTATACTGACTATTTCCTCTTTCTCCTTCTTTGAAGATTGCTAGGGAATCATGTTTGGAACCCACTCTATGTATTAGCATCGTTTAGCACATTTTCTCATGGGTTTTGTCGTGTGGGAATTCCTAACAAGCTGGTCGCCACCATTAGTTCTTTGGTTTCAGTTTCTGATTTGTGGGTTTGGAAGAATGTTTCTATGGCGGTGATTATGTCAAGTACTCATTGATTTTTAATTAGCATTTGTAGCTAGTATGTTCTGAAGAAGCTGAAAGTGGATAGCGTTCATAAGGTTTTAACCATTAGAAACATGTTTCACATAGTAGAACATGTCCATTTCCCAGTTTGATTCAACAATAAAAAAATGCATTTTTAATTAGGTCTTCTATACAAGTACATGAACATGGATGGTAGATGTTCTCTTCTTTTCAGCCAGGTATGCTTTGCTTCAAACATTTGTAAATAACTTTGATTGTTGCACTTAGTTAGAGATAAAGTCATGATATAGTCAAGTCAAACCACTTTGTTGCATCAATTTATAATATTATCAAGCAAGCTGGTCGAGGGTGGCCTTAGGTTCAATGCGTTTATAACTGGTTTGAAGATATGGGTTCATGTATAAGTGTAGGACTCTAAAACTCATCTTCGTCTGTTTATTTTATTTTATTTTATGGAGTGGTTGTTTGATAGAAAACTTGGTTGATGATTATTAGCGATTTCAATGGGGAACAATCCCTAAGAGTAACTTCTTTCTCATTTTTGGGTGGCTAGGATCGTGGGTACAAAGGTTCTACTTTTGAAGGGCTATCAAGCAACCAAAGGTTATACTTCTAAAGGGCTATCAATTGGTTTCATCACGATACAACACACTAAAGAGTAGGCAAATTCATTAGTGCGATTGAGACTTCCACCTTATTACATAGTGTATTTCATTAAGGTTTTATACGACACCGGTCAACGGGCCGGGCCCAATACTAGTTAACAATTATATACTTGGCACACTTTTGATTCCGTAATTGGAGTTGGAACGCCTTCCAGGCCCTTTTGGCACCTACCTTCCACGGAACGGATCCGGCCCATACCGGTTTCGTTTCGAGTTCTTTCATTCATCTTTCTCCGACCGCGTTCCATTCCATTCCATCAACAGAAACCTAGCTCCAGCAACAGCAAATTACCACGAAAACAAAACTGGGACAAATCCTCTGTTTTCTGCCATCACTCCCAACCGCGGAATCCACCGTCGTCTCCCGTTCCAAAACTCGACCACCTCAGTTGGCTTACCCACTCTGCAAGTACTTCCTATTATTCTTCCTCTTCTATCGTTTGCTTATACTCCCATCACTCCCCCTCTTTAAGCACTGTGATTTTTCTTTTTTCTACGGTTGGTAGAGTTTTTCCTCCCCCCGAAACTTTCCAATTTCAATACTTTACAGAGAACTTGGGGTCATTGGTTGGCAGTTGTGGGCTTACACATTTTGCTCAGCATTCAAACTAGAGCCAGGAGTTATTCTATTTCACTCGCAATTGCTTTCCTTGTATCGACGCTTTATGAATCTTGTCTTACTGAGTTGCCCGATTGCAGGGTTGGTGAGTTTTTCTGGCCCGGATAGTCCACTACCATGTCTGCCCAATTGACCCCTCCCAAGAGGCCAAATGATCAGAATGTTAATGAATCAAATGGGAAAGGCAAGTTGCAGAAGACCCAGAATTCCAATGACCAAAATTTGGGATCTTCCCTTGGAAATGTATATTTCAGAGTGGTGTGCTCGGCTTCCAAGGTCGACTGTCTAATTGGGGAAGATGGTGGGGCAATAGCTCGAATTAGCGAAGAAACGGGCTTGAACGTAAGAATAGTTGAGGATGCACCTGAATGTGATGAGAGGGTGGTTGTTGTTGAGAGTTCTCCTAAAGAGACAGAAGGAGGTGAAAGTGCACTGAGCAAGAAGGAAGAAGGTAATATGGAGGCTAATGCAGCAGAAGAACAGAAAGAGGCCGTTAGTGTGGATGACTCACAGTCTGTGAATGGAGCTTCTGCTGTGAAGGCTTTACTGCTCATCTTTGAAAGACTTGTTGAAGCGGAAACCAGTAAGGATGGAGGAGATGAGGGAAAGGGAAAGCTTCCTTCTTCATTTGTTTTGAAGTTACTTGTGCTCTGCACTCAAGTTGGTTGCATCTTGGGGAAGGGTGGCAGCATGATCAAGCTGATGGCAAGTGAAAGTGGTGCACAGATCAGGATCCTTCCCCGGGATAAACTTCCAACATGTGCATCGGCTCAAGATGACGTGGTTCTGGTAATGCCGCATGATCGCTCATGATCTATTAATTAGATTCATGTTTCTTAGTATCTGTTTAGTTTAACTGTTATACACATCAATTTTATCCAAATTGCTATATTGGTTTCAGTTTTGAAGCCACTACTTCAGTTTAGAAGTTCTTCTCCCTTCAGCTAATCAATACTTGTGTTTTTCAGTTACTTTTGCCATTTAACATGATGAAGTAATTTTGCTGCCGTGCTTGCAATATTTATTCTTCATTTCTGTTGCTTGTAATGGTGTAGATCACCGGAGAGATTGATGCTGTTAAGAGAGCTCTTCATTCAGTTTCCAAGCAACTTTTGGGCAACACAGTTAAGGATCACCATCTGGATTCTGCCACTTCATTGGATCATTCTCATCCAAGAGCAGAAGCTAATCCACCTGCGCATCGTTCTGTTATTTCACGTGGAGCACTATACCCTCCTGGACCTCCTGAACCTATACTAACCTTCCGTATACTATGTCCTGAAGAGAAGGTAGGAGCTGTCATTGGGAAAGGAGGATATATAATAAAGGGGCTCCAGCTAGAAACTGGTTGTGAGATTAAAGTTATGGAATCTGTCCCTGACTGTGCAGACCGTTTGATAATTGTCTCTGGTTTAGTGGTATGGTCTCTGGCACGTTCTTCTTTTTCAATTGCATCCTCGTGTTTTATTGGTTCAATCATTTATTTTTACTGGCAATATATTACCCTATTTTCAGGATCCAAATGGGAGGATATCAGCTGTACGAGATGCTGTTCTTCGTGTACATGCACGAATATTTAGGGGTGCACCTGATAACCAAGAAACCAAGACTGTCGTAACCAGGCTTCTTGTTTCCTTAAATCAAATTGGTTGTCTACTTGCTAAAGGTGGTTCAATCATGGCTGAAATGAGGAAGTCAACAGGGGCTTATATTCGTGTTCTACCAAAGGATCAGATTCCTAAATGTGCTTCAGAAGGTGAAGATGTTTTACAGGTGTGTATTTGTCTACACTTCATGCCAGCTTCGATCGCTGAGCTGTTTTCAATTGGTAGATTTTACAGTTTTCTCCTTTTCGTTGTTTCTGCGTTATTCCTATGGCAGATAAATGGGGTGTGTGAAACTGTACTGGAAGCACTTATGCAGATAACAACAAGATTGCAGCAGCATTTCTTCCTAGATGAATTTCCTTCTAATGGCCACCCTTCTTCAAATCCTGCATTTTTTGATCATCCTCCTCCACCATTTCCCCAATATCCAGGGAGGAGTGAACTCTCACCTCCATTTCATCTATTCAATGATGGCATAGGTGGCACCCCACCTCAACGTCTCGGTTTCCCTCCAACTGACAATCAATCTCCTTTCATGCACAATATTCACAGACCTGGGATGCTGCCACATATATCTGAACGCAACCCATGGGGTCCTCAGGTCATAATTCAGTCCTTTAAGCTGATTGTTTACTCCGTAGTTTGTAGGAAGTGTGTACTTTATGATCATTCTCCTTTCATCCACAATGTTCACTCCTCAAGTCAAATTGCTTATAGGGGCTCCCTGAAGGTGTTGCGCCAGTCGGCTTCCCAGACTTTCCTGTACCACCTCACAGAAGATTGCCGGGTTTTGGAGGGTATGAAGATCAGAGTTCTTCCTTCCTTTAAAATCCTTTGTTTTGTACCATTTCATAATTCTTCCAGCTGTGTTCATCACAAGCTAAGAGGATCGTGTTTTGTTTGTTTGAAGGAGCCATGCCGCTATAATTACAAATACTAAGCTCGAGGTTGTTGTTCCACGTTCCATTGTCCCGATAATCTATGGAGAGGATGGAGCATGCTTGATGCAAATCCGACAGGTATATATATCTATATTTCACTAATGCCCAAGTAATTCCATTTTGCAAATCGGATGTGTATTCAAATTCCGTGGTTGTTGTATCTCTTAACTTCTAATGTTTTCAATTGGACGTCAGATTTCTGAAGCAAAAATTACCATCACTGACCCAAAGCCTGGAGCAAGAGAGACCATTATTATCATATCTGGGACACCCGAACAGACGAATGCTGCTCAAAGTCTTATCCAAGCTTTTGTGATGAGTGAACACGAGTCTGCTTGAGCACTCCATTTCAACTTCCGTCAATAGAAAAAGTGAGTATGCCGCTAGATGCTTTGCCGGTTCACTTAACATTTTAGAGGAATAGAGGGCACTGAGTGAGTAACAGAGGAAGATGGCATTATGACTCTTAGATTTAGGGAATCCAGGTGTAGAATTGCTGACTCTTTTTAGGGCTAGTGTTGCTACCTTCTGACTGAAGTAATGCCTACCGAACTTAGCTTAGGTAATGTGTGCCGTAGTTTCTAGGATGTGTGTATAGTGTTGTACTACTGCACACTTAGTACAAACTTGTGAGCTCAAGTTTCTCCCTTGATATTGTAATTACAATGAACCGTCATTTCTCACATAGCAAGGAAACAATAGTCTTCTCATTTCCCGTAATACTTCTGTGAACATATGGTGTTAATGGAGTAGGTTTATCTTTGTATTAAGTAGAAGCTCTGACAGAAAAAAGGGTACAAAGCGATTTAATGTTCTGGGAAATACTAGGCACTGTAGCACAACCAAAGAGTGCCCAGATCCTTTCCTCTCATTCCTAAGCACGAATTAATGGTGAAGGGTGAAGATGGTAAGTTTCTTTATTCTCCACTTTTGAAAGGTTGGTATGTTTTCACAGACTGGATTAGGCCTTCCACAGATCCAGCCGCTGCAACAAGCGACACTGCCAGGCATGTCCAGCTCAATATTTTCAGCCATGTCCGGCGGGCTTGATTTCAGGGTGTCTTGCAAGGCAATCGAGACTCGACGGCGACGGAGAGACCCAATCCAATAAAGGAGTAGGCGAAAGACATGACGACGGCGACAATGGAGAGCCACGACAGCTTGTGGAAGTTGGGGATCTGGCTAAGCACCAGCTGGATGCACCAGAATATCACCATGTACGGCGTGTTCGACACGTGGCACTTATCCGCCATGTGCCCTTCTTTGTGGAAGCAGTTCGACCTAGGGGTGTTCAAATGGTTACCATGGCTATTATCAAACCAAATAAAGCTAAATTTCATTAATCATGGAATACAATATCATAATCAAACCGTCCAAACTAATACAACAACCAAATTAACCAAATTAAAGTTTAATCAATTTGGTTAATTGGTTAACCAGATTAACCAACATAAAATTACATTATCTTTAAGTGAGAAAACTTCGGTTAATTTATCAATTCACAATTTATAGAATGAAAACATAACAATCAACACATAGTTATAGTTGACCCTTAACATAAATACATGCAACTAAGACAATTATCTTACGGTTAGTATAGAAGTATTCACCTAACAAAAATTTATCACAATGATATGGGTTAACGAATTTTTGTGTTTGTTTGAATTGACTTAGTCTATTAGCAATTTTTATAGGCTGAAAAAGGACCTTGCTTTCAAGTTTTCATCCAACATAATGTATAAGATTTATTTAAATTAGGCATTCAGATGTTGTGGTCTACACTCTACATATACAAATATACATTATAGGAACAATATCTAGCTTTATATTTATGAGTCTAAAAGGGATGAACGTTCAACTCTTGAGTGGTTAGTCAAAGTATTAAGTATGTGTATATATTAGATATATGACTAATTATTTATCTGGTTAATTTGGTTTGGCTGGTTAGGAGTGTCAAAAACCAAACCAAACCACCTAAACCAAACAAGCTAAAAACTTAACCAATTATCCAAATTAACCAAACCAAATTATCCAAATAATACTGGTTAAAACGGTTACCATGGTAACCACACCATTTGAACACCCCTAGACTTCGACCTCTTCACCGCCCTACAATACCATTATGCAATTTAATTAATTATTTGTATCTTTTTTTTTTTTTTTTTGCTTGCAAGGTGGCCGAGGCCAAGAAAGAGGGGGCAGGGAGAGATTACAAGATGTTAGGCACCATTACTTGGCGCTCAAAAGAAATGCCCATCACATCATCTCGAAGCAATTGACCAACCTCTCTTGGCGGATTAGAGAGCTCATGCATACCATAGGGATAGACAAGACTGTGTTTCGAGAGCCAGTCCGCGACTTTATTCTCCTCCCGGTAAGTATGAGCTACTCTGACCAGCCAGTCTTGAGCAAGCTTCCTCCTGATACCGTCGAGAAGTGAGGCATAAGGAAGAACAGGGTCACGCCGATTGTTGATTAGCTGAATCTCTAGTTGAGAGTCTGATTCAACACAAGATTCCCACACCCAATTTTCCAAGCCAAACTCAGGCCATGGTAAAAAGCCCAGAGCTCCGCTTGCGCCGCCGTTGCTTCTCCTATCTTTGCCACAAATCCTGCGATCCATCTACCTTGATCATCCCGAACCACACCACCTGCTCCTGCCATCCCTGGATTTCTGGCCGAGGCTCTGTCAATGTTCAGCTTCAACCACCCGGTATCGGGCGCATGCCACCGAATATGATCAATGGTTCTCTCTGGTCTCGAACCTGTTCTATCAGTAGTGAGGGTTGGTGTGTTCCAAGCCTTGTGCCATAAGAGAGCATTGTGTTGGATTGAGTGGGCCAGGGTAGGGGCTGAGAAAGCTTTGAACATGCCTTTAAAACAGGTCGTACACCTGTTCTTCCAAATAAACCAAATAGCAACGCTGAAAAAGGCTCGCCAGTTCATCCCATCTTCCATGCTGTACTCACTCGTGAGGTTGGTACACAACCACCGCTCCTGATTGCAGAGGAAGAACTCCGTTTGCTTCTCGGCCGACACCCACCTCGACCAACAGTATCTCGCAGGTGGGCAGTCCCGCAACACATGAAGCACAGTCTCTAGACATCCACTGCAACAGTATCACGCCGGGGAGTCCGAACATTTCCTGCAAAAACGAAGGGCATTGTTAGCAATCCGATCAAGGGAAACCAACCAAACAAAACACCTAACCCGTTCAAGAGTTTGCAGAGTCCAAATCTCCTTCCAGAAGCTGTTGTTGTGGTCCGTGCTGTGAGGTTGGAGAAGCTGGTATGCCGTCTTTGCCGAGAACCGACCATCAGCTGACGCCGTCCAAAAAAGGCGATATGGTTCTGCAGTCATTGGGTCCACCATAACTGCCGTGATTCTTTGTAGGATATCCCCCGGTAACCAACTAGAGAGACGGTTGATATCCCGTTCTCCCTCCATATCCACGTAAGCAGCCACCGTCTTAGTACGCTCTTTTTCAGGAACTTGCTGCGTAGCCAAATCAATAAGGGGGCCCTGCAAAATCCAGTCATCCAGCCAAAACTTAGTATTTTCCCCGTTGTGAATGTTCCACACACAACCTTTTCTCAAAAGGTTGGCTGCTTTATTAAAGCTGGCCCAGGCAAAAGAACTTCCCTGACGATGCCGGAAGATGCTCAGATCCTCTCTCTTTCCCCCATACTTAGCTCTCATGATTTGTGTCCAAAGGGTATCCTTTTCTTGCAGAATACGCCATCCTCCTTTCGCTAGCAAAGTCAAGTTAGCCTGCAGGAGAGACCGGAGCCCACCTCAACCTTGCTTCCTTGGTTCCGTTAACTTCTCCCAGGCCACCAAATGCAACTTTCCTGATTCTCCTCTTTTCCCCATATAAAGTCCCTGTTAATCCTGTCAAGGTACTTGCACACATTCATTGGAATCAATTCAGTTTGCATTGTATAAGTAGGAATGGCCAAGGATACAGAGCGGGCCATAGTTAGCCTGGCTGCAAGGGAAAGCCGTTTAGCTTTCCAGGGGGCCAACTTCCTCTTGATCTTCAGGACGAGCTCTTGATATATGCTCTGGTTATCCTCCCATGAATGGTTTGGATACCCAAGTACCGACCAATTTTCGTAGCCAAGGGAATAGCCATCATGTTGCTCAATCTCTAAGCACGACTCGAATCGATGTTAGGTGAGGTATACATTAGAGACTTCGAGTAATTCACTTTCTGTCCGGAGCTCTCACAAAACTCGTCAAGGCATTGCCGGATGATCCTCACTTGCGATCCTTCTGCTCCTGCAAAAAGCACCAAATCATCGGCAAAGAAAAGATGGGTCAGCGCTGGCCCACCCTGCGAAATGCTTAGGGGTTTCCAAAGCTTCTCGCAGACAGCCTGATAAATCCTGTGAGAAAGACGCTCCATGCAAAGGACAAAAAGGTAAGGGGAAAGAGGGTCTCCCTGTCTCACTCCCCTAGTCAGGGTAATGGGATGAGTGAGCTCGCCATCCCAAAGGATTCACATCCTATTCTGCTCCACACAGTACATGATGCAATGGATCCACGAGCTTGGAAGGCCCACGTCCACTAAGGTTTCCCTCAAGAAGTCCCATCGGAGTCTATCGTACGCTTTCTCCAAGTCGATCTTGACCACCATGCCTCATTTCCTTCCTCGCCTTATCCGAAGAGAGTGGATGACCTCCTGAACTACAATGATATTATCCGCAGTTTGCCTATCAGGGATGAAGCTGCTTTGCCGTGGAGAGACAAGCTTCCTCATCACCATCTTCAATATGCTCGTCATTGCCTTAGTAATGGCCTTCAGACTCACATTGTTCAACGATATGGGACGGAGCTGGTTCACACTCTCCAGTTTGTCCACTTTGGGTATGAGGACAACCGTAGACTCTGACACCTCCGCCGACAAGTTCCCATTCTAAAAAAAAGTCAGGGCCATGTCTGTGAGAGCTTTCCCGACAGTCTGCCACGCTTGTTGATAGAAGATCGCCTGATAGCCATCCGGACCTAGAGCCTGCATGGGTTTCATGTAAAAAATAGCATGATGAATATCCAGGATGGAGAATGGCTGAAGCAAAGTTAACCAATCTCCTTGTCCAAGCCTAGGGAACGCTCCCTTGGGCATGAGATCAGTATAATGAGATGCCTCCTGCAGGTTCAAATTCGAGTAGAACTCAAAAACCATGCTAGCAAGCTCCTGCTTATCCTGCACCCAGTCTCCATTTTCGTTCTTCAGGCTTTAAATCTTGTTTGAACGACGTCGGATGTTCGTGATTTGATGGAAATACGCCGTATTCCTCTCGCCAAACTTAACCCAACTTTTCCTAGCTCGTTGGAACCAGTATAACTCCTCATGTACCATAGTTTTGTCAAGTTCAGCTTCCAGCTTGGCATGAAGTTTAGCCAAACCAGGCTGGAACGAGACAACAAGCTTCCTTTCAATCCCCTCAATCCTAGCCACCAGTCGTTTCTTTCGTTGGAACACACTGCCGAAAACGGACGAGCTCCAAGTCTTCAACTTGTCTGAAAGATCCTGCAAGGCCAAGGGAAAGTTAGCCTGATCATTCCAATTCCCATTAAGAAAGTCTTGGAAATCAGAATGAGTCAACCAAGAAGCTTCAAATTTAAAACGTTTTGGAGAAGGGTGAGGGGCTCCCTGATTCGGCACCGTCGTAAAAATCGGATTGTGGTCCGAGCTGAGCCGCGGCAAATGAAGCACGGTCGTACTCGGGAAGAACACATTCCAATCAAGATTGCATAAGCTCCGATCTAGCCTGCTAGCTTTATAAGTCTGTAAATGGTTTCCTCTACACCAGGTAGACTTTGGTCCAGAGAAACCCAAATCGACCAATTTCACTTCATTGATCCAGTCCCCAAGCCGTTTGCAGCGCCTTAGCGTCATAGGATTAGCCTGCCCTAATTTCTCCAGCGGAGTGAGAATAGCGTTAAAATCTCTAGTGAGGATCCAGGGCAGTCTATAGTCCGACTTTTCTCAATGAGATGGTGCCATAGGAGCTTCTGGGGTTGCTGGCGGGGAGAGGCATAAACTGTCGTGAGCTTCCAGGGACGGGATTGAGCAGCAGAAACCACAAGAGTGAGGTGTTGGGACCCTGCAGAATCAATATCAATGTTGAAATTCTGGACATTCCAAAAAAACCAGATGCCCTCGCTCCTCCTGTCGCCTCAACCCGAATGACATCAGGGTATCCCAGCTTATCACAAACTCTATTAGCCACATCACTACTAATCTGTGGTTCAATCAAAATAAAAAAAAATCATGCTTGTGGAGCTGAAGAGCAAGCTTCAGAGAGCGGGAGAAAGCTCTACTTCCAGCCTCACCAACATTGCAGGAGAAGATTTCAAAACCAGCTTTATAAGAGACACACATTAAAACAAATAGATAAAAAAGAAACGAGGAAGGAAGACTAAAAGAAAACAGAGAAGAACGAGTTGACCGGGGGTTATAGGGAGATTCCGACCGTCATCCCCGCCTGGTCAGGCATCTCTTTGTTCCCACTCCCTGTCGCCGTAGCCAAAATATTGCCAGACAGATCTTTTCCCCCTACAGTGGCCAAGTCTGTCCATTCTTTGATTTGTTGAAGAGTAAGAGAGACTCGTCTCTCCTTAGCCCGCCCCTTCCTCTCCTTAACCGATGACCAAATTTGTAGCGTTTTTAGAGGGTTATGCCGGATTGGGGTTCCCTTTTTTGGGGTCGAACTCTTCCCTTTCTTCCCAACTTTCCCGTCTTTCGTGGCCTTCGTACTAGAAACCGCCGTCGGGGCTGCCGGGTCAACAATCCGCGACAGAGGGGGCTTGTACGGCTGCGCTTCAACAATCCTGATTTTGTTCCCATTAGCTCCCGTAGTCTGCTAGGTAGAGACCCCAATTTGGGTTGCAGGCTCAAGCCCATTCTCTCCTGGGTTGTTTGAAGTTATCTCTATAGGTTGCGAAGACTGCCTGGGCTTTGGCGGGCCGTACGTGCCGCTCATGTTTTCAGCGGGCTTGCTGGATGAGGCCTCATAAAATTTGGGCAGAGACCCAACAATTCCTTTGTCACTACGAGCAGTTGACTCGTTAACCTTTCCTTTCCCCTTATTCTCGCTTTTACCTTTCCTTTCTGAAATCGTTGCCTGCTTTTCCTCCGTTTGAGACCGTTACTTCTGCGAGAGACTCTGAGTTGTCTTCGAGGAAGGCTTACCATTGATTTCTCCCTCTTTCCAGTCTGCCCCCCCCTTCGCAACCCGTTGTTGATTGCGAAATCTTGTTCAGACTTCCCCGTTTTGCCCAATTCCTTTTGATTCCTCCGTGATTTTCGGGTCACCATCATCCATGGCCCGTAGCCAGCCTTAGCTTCGTCGTTCTCCCTGGCCATGCCCAGCGCCGTCGGTTGTGCCACCCCTGTGCTACCGGCGTTCTGATCTCCGATGAGTGTCAGGCAGGAGACCTTTGTATGCCCAACTTACCACACTCAAAACAAACGAGAGGCAAATTCTCATATTCCACTTTCTGCCACCGTCCATCCAGCCGGATCCTCGGTCTCAGTGGTTTGGATAGATCAACTAGGGGTGGGAAAATGGTTCGGTAAACCCGAACCGAACTGAAACCAAATTAAACCGAACCGAAACCGAATTAATGCTATTCGGTTCGGAATTCGGAAGGAAAATATGGATAGTTCGGAAACCATGGTTCTTTCAACCAAACCGAATTTCCGACCGAAAAACCGAAGTACTATAATTGCAAGCTCCAAATGGTGGATTTTTATGTTTGTAGTTGTTTTTAGACTTAAATATTTGAAATGTTGTATGAATTATGTGTTGAAAAGTTTGATTTTATCATTGATGATGCATATAATTGATATTTATTGTTTATATTAGGGGTGAAAATAATTTAAAAGTGAGAAAATACAAGTAGCTTCACAAATTCGGTTTTGGGTGATGCATATAATTATGTTCGAATTCGGTTTGAGGTTTGAGAGAATTCGGGGACCCGGTATTCATAATTTTGGTTCGGTCGAAACCGAACCGACCGAATGCCCACCCCTAAGATCAACGTCGACTGCCATACGCGCAAACTTCGCCCGTTGCTGGTGTTGAGTATGAAAATCAAGTTTGATGGATCGACCAATCAAATTGCCCATTGTGAAAAGCAATTCTCTGTGGTAGAAATGTACCGGGAAACCTGGGAACTGAACCCACACCACCATAGTTTTTGGAAGGTTATCGTTCACTCGGAAACTCGGCGTCCATTGCTGGACCAGCAGGTAATGATCAAAGATCATCCAGGGTCCCTCTGTCAGCACTTTGAAATAATCCTGGTCATTGCCAAGTCTAGCCAGAAAACACTCTTCGTCCAGAGCAAAAACTTCCATAGCACTCGTTGGTCTCCAGAGAACCCTAAGCCTGTTACAGAAGATCGAGTAGCCTATTGATTTCCCCAGCAACCCCACGATGAGCGTTCTTTGCCACGGTTTACTAAGTTGGGATCTGAACTTATAGATTCTCAATTCTGGCTCCCCTGGGAAAGAACCTGTTACGATGTCGTGTTCCCCTACTGGACTCCATTGGGGGGCGAGGGTTGTAGAAACGCTTTCCTCCGTAAGTGCCCCAGCATAGGAAACCACCTGCAGCGGTTGAGATCCGGAATTGGCAAGAGCCACCGTCGCGGTTCCGATCGGGCTCAGGGAGCTCTCAGATCCCGTGATCGGAACTGCAGTCTCTACCACCATCCGCCTTTCGTCCATTTGAGGGACTGCTGACTGGGGCGGCTCCACTTGCATCTCAACTGGAAACCCGGCAGAAGCAGGTTGGCTTGCCGTCTGCATCGCAGCTGATTGATGAGGGACGCTTGGATTAGCCTGAAAAACGTCCGGCGGACGCCCCGTCAAGGTGGCGTTAGTCGCAGTTGTTCCACTACCAGCGTTATTCGTACGGAGCATTTCTAGTTGACGAAAAACCTCCTTGAATCCTCAATTACTTGTATATATTAATTAGCTAGCTAAGTAACACAAAGAAAGGAATTAAATAATGATTGTAAGTAATTATTAGCTTACACGATGCTGATGGAGGCGGTGATGGTGTAACCGACGGTGATGCCGACGAGGTTGCCGTACTGGGCCAGGCCGCAGAGCTGGACCTTGCGGCCGCCCAGGTGGGCCCGGACGGTGTCCATGTAGGTGTAGTTGCGGCGGCCCGTGACGGGGTTGGGGGAGCGGTAGGCGTCGGCCAGGAGCGTGGAGGTGAAGAAAGTGATGAAGGAGAATGCCATTAGGACCACCGGCCCGGCCACCCAGCCCAGCTGGGCCATGGCCCAACCCAGGGACAGCATCCCGACCCTATCATCGTCGTTGTTATGTGAGCGCTCCCGGTCACCCACGTCCCTGCAACGTCACTCTTTAATAAATAATTGAAAGACAAACTAGCTAGTTCAACGTGGTGGTTATTTGGTTACCAGTTCACTTGGGGCGGCCGTCGTCGTCGAGGGCCTTGCGGGAATCGAGTTGGACGGCGCCGGTATTATTGATGTGGGCTTCATGAGGATGGTGGTGGTGGTGTTCCATGTTCATGCTGCTGCTGGGATTCGACATCTTCTCGTGTAATTACTCGCAGCTTTCTTTATTTGTTTCCTTGTGGTCTTGTGAGGGGGAGGAAGAAGAGGAAGAAGAAGAAGAAGAAGAAGAAGAAGAGGAAGGGAGGCTGAGAGTGATGGGAGTAGTGTTTTGTGGAGGGGAGTTATTATGGTAAAAGGAGCATGGCCGGTAGAGTGAGTGAGTGAGAGAGATAGAACAATTGGAGGAACTTAACGTGGTTTTATATAGAATACAAGATAAGCTAGTCCCAAATTACTTTAGACCAACTTTTTACATTTCATTTGATTAATTTAAATGAGTTGTTCAATATTTCAGGTATGGTCATTGATTTTTACCTTTCCGCTAGTCTTCATTAACAACTGTCTAAGTTTTTTTACTGATGTGACTAATAAAATAGTCTAGTCAATTTTGCCTCAGACTGGAAGCTCGTGTATCTCACAATTGCTCCCGCAACTTTAACCAGTAGACTTCTGACCACACCAATGCCCATCCCTACTCCACACTTGCCAAAAAAACTACTTTTCCTACCCTCATCCTTCAAAAACCTCAAAACCACCTACCTTTAATCTACGTCCCCACTCTCCTGTCATTCCACCTACCCTATCCAAGGCAAGCAACAAATGGATCATATCGAGATGTAGCACACCCAAAGGAACAACTAAGAAGTTCATAGTCTTTCTCATACAAAATGTTCATGGTCATATAATCAAACTAATGTCGTCGGTGACAATAGTAAAGTACTCAAATTCGGTCCCAATATCATAGGAGCTCACACCATGATATGAAGGAAGCAAGCAAGGGAGGATTAGTTCCTTCTTCAATCGAAGAATGTGAAGAACTATCATACTCTAAGTCATTCCTCGTGGTCAAATTCTACAAATGGCATGGAGCATTCAACGCTTGTACTTCTTTGGAGACTCTAGCAGTTTGGTGCTCTGAGAAATTGGGGTGCTCGCAAATTCCACCATTGTCAAAGAACCCCAAGGGAACCTATAGAGAAACAAAGTGAAGAAGAAGAAGCTGGAAAGAGGGAGCTTCTTTTTACTGAGACTTTATTTTGGTCACTTTTATTTGTCCAAGTCGCTGATTGAAAAGGTGGGTAAGAGGATGAATAGCTTTGAAAGCTATAAGTGAAAAGGAAGGAAAAATTCAAATTAATAATGTGATATCTTTTCCTTAATACGAAAGAAAGGATAATCACCTCAAAATAATTATCCAACTAAAAGACACATTTTTAATTAGGAAGATAATTACCTTCCTTAACAAAAGATACTTATTCTCGATGAAAGAGGGAAAATTTGTGATCTTTTGCTCCTACAAATAGAAAATCCCTCGGACCCTCTAGATAGACAATTGAGAGAGTATAAACATGAGAGAGTGTTCTTCCAACAACTCTGATTTGGGCACAAGCCGAGAGTAATAGAAAGTAGTTGTTTTATCCTGCAAGCGATCGATGATAGTCTGTTGTGCACAAAGATGGCAATGACGTGATTCGAGCCATTCTATTATATACATGTTTTTACCCTCTTTGACTTGGTTGCTTGACTTGTATAAAATCGTCCTTGGAGCCTTTTGACGCTAGATTTGAAATGTTTTAGTATGTTTCAGACTATAGCAGGTGAAATGGGAGAAAGGATCAAAAGTTAGACGAAAGGGATCGAAAACGGGACAAAGTGCTGGAAATTGTATGGATCACGCTTTAGAGAAGATTGTCACGGGCATGCAACCATGAAGTATACATAAAAATCATAAAGTGTGCAAGGCTCTAGGGGCTTTCAGAAGTTTTGGGGCTATTGCAAGGATTACGGGCTAAGCGCATGAAGTATATAACAAATCTGTGAAGTGTGCAAGTGAAACCGTACGTTTTACCCTGAGATCGTGGTTTCACTCCACACATCACGGGTGTGAAAGGTGACCGTGAAATGTGCATTGTCGGGTACAAAATGAAGAGGAGATCAAATTTCAAGGGACAAAAGTTCGAGAGTGAGATTGGTTTCTTCTTCCACATTCTAGAGAGAAAGCGATGAACCAAGGAAGATTGGAGAGGAGTTTGACCTACCCAAGTCATATTTCATCTTCAACACCATCCCAAGCAACTAGGAAGAAAGAGAATCATCATTTCATGGCGTTTTCTTTCTCTTTAGTTGTAGTTCTTTCTTTAGTTACGGAGTAGATTTCCCTTTCACTTGGACTATGCGAACCCTAGTCTAGGATGTTGTAGATTGATGATTGTGAACTCTATGTTGTGATTGGGGTGTTCGATTATATATTGATTTATTATGAATATTGAGTGTCCTTGATCAATTCCCTCAATTTTTAGGCGAATTAAGCTAAGAGAGAGAAGATCTCCTTATGGTATTTTGGGTCACTAGTCAATCATTGTAGAGAGCTATGAACAAGGGTGATTGGTTGATTTGCACCGTATCAGGTTATCGCCCAAGGGAATGAATTTAGTTGCCCTAATTGCCTAATCTGGTAATTTGGTACGCCTCTCAGATTAGAGCAATTAGGTGGGTTAGGACAACTCGAATAGGGACTCTTGACTAACTTTGATCTCCTAAAGGTATATATAATATGCAAAACACGCTAGAGTATCACGTCATCGTCTCAACCCGAGAAGAGGAGGATAATCATTCGGGTGAAGCCTTATTACATGAATTCAACCTCATTTTACTTGTTTGTTTTTTAGTTTAAGAACTTTGTGAGCTATTTAGCTATGATTTTATCACTTTGTGAGCAATTTTCTTATCATTAGGTGTTAAGTAAACTATTAATCATTTTAACTAAAGTGAGGAAGTGTTGTAAATTATTATTTCATTAATCATGCATTGAAAATAGATATTTTATTCCAACGCCTAGGTGCACTTAGGCTATGCCTAGGCATGCAAGGTGCTAGACAATTCATTAATGCCCGCCTTACACCTAGCGTCTTTTTGAACCTTTCTTTAAAGTACTGTTGTTTGGAGATACAACTTGAAGTTGTACCATAACATTATGTATAAGTTTTTGTACTGTAAAGTAATTTGTATGAAAATATATCGGTACAAACTATACCATAACGTCAAAGGTACGTGTTCAGTTTGTATCATAAATGAATTTGTAGGAAAAGATGTGGGTACTAACTAAATTTGTACCATAACATTAAAGGTACAAGTTCATTTGTACTATAAAAAAGTGTACCAAAATGTATAAACACAAACTGAATATGACTATATCGTTAAAGGTACAAGTTCAATTTGTACTATAAAGATTCTTTTTTATATAAATAAAAGCACTGATGATATGAAGCATTGTAAAATTCCCCTATATATTTATTTAAATCATTATTAGCAGTTATGTTTTATTGTATCTATTTCGGTAATATTGATTATGGTATTTTGTAAACAAATTAAGTATATATTGTATAATAAATTACATTTATTAGTTTTTAATAAATTACATTTATTTTTATTATAATTTAAAATAAAAATTAATATTATATGATATCCATTTTGACATATTTGAAATATAAAAATCTGTTAGACTAGCATTCTATAGCATCATATATAATTCATGAACTATCGATTCTTCTATAATGATAACCGATCTCTACGACAATTCCTAATAGTATCCCCACAAGTTATTTTGTTTGAATGTTATGAAAGTGGATCTCTCCTTGCTTACCAAACTTTGACCAATCTCCCATTCTTCTTTAAGTCAACGTAGAATGATCATTCTACTCCTCACTTAATTCATGATTTACAAATTAAAATTAAAATCGCTATAGATAGAAGATGACATTCGTGGTAGGTTTTAGTATTTTCATTGTCGACCACTAAACTTTCCTAAGCTATTTTTATAAATTGGGCAACCAAATTTGGAGATCTTTAAGAAAAAAGAAATGCATATGTAGGATAATAGTCAACGCCTACTGGTTATTCATTAAGTTTTCAATCTATCGATTATAAAATTTGTGTTGGTCACATGGTTGTTTACCGGTGTTAAGGAAAGTATAAATCTCATAAAATGTTCATGAGATGTAAATTTTACTGTGTGTAATGTTCAGTATTTCCAAACATTTTACTATTAAATATTAACCTTCGCTGAAAAAGGTAGGAACAACCTATTACGAAGAACAATGTTTCGTTATGGAAGACAAAGTCATTGTAATTGGTGGAGATGATGGTGCTTTAGAGGACTAAGACACCGCAATCACAGAAAATTCAAAATAATTTTTTCACTAATTCTTGACATCGAAGAACAAATAGTGTGGCCGTGTTATTAAGTTTCTTAGAGTCAATTTCCTTTAACCTTCTTCTGAGTGTCAAGGAACTATTATTTCTCATTGTTTTTCCTTTTGCTACTCTTAATTAATCCAATGGCCTTATTAATTTAAGAAATTCCTTAAAGATTTGGTTTAAAGCATTCATATTGGTATTGCATTCTCAATTGCTTGATGACATGACATATGTGTTTGCAATTGCATTGATGGGGCTACCAATTGCATATTTGCAAGTTTGCAACAAATACAATTGCATATCCAAGTCAAAAAGGCCTAAAAATAGAGGTTTTTATTTAATATTATTTTCTTTTCTCTTTCACTTTATTTATTATAATTTAAACATAATATTTAATTACATATACAATTGAAAGTTAATTGTATTGATGTAGATGAATGAAATGAAACTATGAAAGTGATTTGAGGTGGATTGAAAAAAATTGAGTTGGCAATAAAGCGAACAATTACATTTATATGGATGGTCTAACGATGGAATTCCAACTGGAAATGGTCGACACTAGAGTGGACATTCATCAGGAAACCAGCTAGCTAAATTGGATGAAGGAAAAGCTGCCGCATTACTCGTGTTTCGGAGCCAGTGGTTAGTTTAATTTTAGATTTCCTTCTGAATGCATTAGTTTTGATTCGATCTCCTACTTAATTATATATTTGTAATCAAATCTTGTTTTATAAAAACTAAAATGATTTGGTTGGACTCCTACATGTATCCAGATTCTGGGCTATCGTACAACGAACATGGAATATGATTCAATTCTTCGTCAGCATCAATCACAACATCAATATCTTGTTTCTCTCCTTGGATATAATTCTAAACAAAATCCTACTAATTCTATTCTATCCTATCCCTGCTGCAAATCCAAAACTAAAAAAATCTACCTTCTTATCCGAAATTTCCAATACCATAATGAGCAGGCCGAGCGTTATTAATTCTTCCCATAATAACTTTGCAGAGCCCCGATTCTCTCCTCCTCTTCTCCTTCCCCTTCTCCTCTCTTCCTCCATCTTCGCCCCAGTGTTTCTATTTTCACACAGACCAGATTATCTCCGAGCTCTGATTCAATGGCGGCCCTCCCTCCCGGCTCTTTTTTCCTCGGGTTCGACTCATCTACCCAGTAAGTAAAGTACCCTTTCTTCTTTTCTTCAATTCTAGCACTCACTGATTTGTGGGTTATTTGATTACTGCTTAAAGTTTGAATCTTGAAACTCAATTTTATTTTCCCCTGTTTCCATCGAACTTCGAATAAATGGCTGATCGCACGAATTTCTGAAAACTTTCTGATAATAAAAAAAAGGTCGTTGAAGGCGACAGTGCTGGACTCCAATCTGAACGTGATCCAATTGGATCAAATCCATTTCGATTCCGATTTGCCCCATTACAAGACCAAAGATGGCGTCTATAGAGACCCATCCGACAGTGGCAGAATCGTTTCCCCTACACTAATGTGGATCGAAGCTCTCGATCTCGTCCTCCAACGCCTCTCCAAATCCGGTTTGGATTTCGGGAAAGTCGATGCTCTCTCCGGCAGCGGCCAGCAACACGGCAGCGTTTACTGGAAGAATGGCACCTCTTCCTTGCTCTCCTCTCTGGACCCTAACAAGCCATTGTTGGATCAGTTTGGCAATGCGTTTTCGATCGGGGAATCGCCTATATGGATGGATAGCAGCACCACGGCGCAATGTAGAGAAATTGAGGAAGCTGTTGGTGGAGCGATTGAGCTGGCTCGAATCACTGGGTCTAGAGGGTATGAGAGGTTCACTGGACCTCAGATCAAGAAGATATTTCAGAAGCAACCTGAAGTTTATAACGGTACCGAGAGGATTTCACTTGTTAGCTCGTTCATGGCGTCTATCTTTGCTGGGAAGTATGCTTCCATTGATCATGCTGATGGTGCTGGTATGAATTTGATGGATATTGAGAAAAGGACCTGGTCTAAAGTAGCTTTGGAGGTTCGGATTTTTACTTGCTTTTGTCGAAAGCATTCTGCTTTCGTTGTGGATGGAGTGCATTTTTGTTGAATGTGTGTTGTTGGTTGATCACAGGCTACTGCACCAGGTCTAGAGGAAAAGCTTGGCCCTTTGGCTCCAGCTTATGCTATTGTTGGCTCTATTGCTTCTTATTTCATCGAAAGGTTGGTGTAGCATTTGTGTCTTTTTCATCTGTTGATCACTACTGCATTAGCTACATTTTGCAATTAATGGTTAGACTCGGAAAGGAATGGTCTGGCATCTCAAGATGATTGAACTAGGCAGAATCTGTTTAAAATTGACGCTTGTTTGAATGATATTCGTGTGCGTTGCAAAATTAGTGAGTATTGTCCTCTTCCATGCCCAGGTACAAGTTCAATAAGGATTGTTTGGTTGTGCACTGGTCTGGAGACAACCCCAACAGTTTAGCTGGTGAGTCCTTTTCTTTGAGCCATATTGGATAGAACAGTCAGCTTTGCCGTGTTAACGATTTACAACAGTTTGCACATTCAAACTCTCAGATTGAGTTGCATTTGGTAGAAGATTCTGGAGTCTGATGGTATCTTGAACTTTGTGCAGGTTTAACCTTGAGTGTTCCTGGTGATCTGGGAATTAGTCTTGGCACCAGTGACACTGTGAGTTCCAACGGAAACCCATTCTTGTACTGTTGCCACTTCGTTTGTCCCACACTTAATCTTAGTTTTAGAATCAAATGGAATTTGACATTGCAGGTTATCGGGATATCCAGTGATCCAAAACCTGGGTTGGAAGGTCATGTCTTCCCTAATCCGGTAGACACAAAAGGTTACATGGTAATGTTATGTTACAAAAATGGCTCTCTCACTCGAGAAGGTATACACTAGTGTTATAAATTCCTAACATTTGAGCGGTGCCACTTAATACCTCCACTCCTTACATGGAATTGGTATTTGATTTAGAGGTGCGCAACAGTTGTGCACAGAGCTCTTGGGAGACCTTCAACAAACTCTTGGAGCAAACATCACCTCTTAATGGTTTGTACATGCTCAATTTAGGATTTTTCTTCTTAGTCTTCTTCTATCAATCCTACCTGACTCTGGTCCTTCAAAACAAATAACAGGTGGGAAATTGGGTTTCTACTACAAGGACCATGAAATACTTCCTCCACTCCCAAGTGAGTTCTTGTTGGAATAGAAGATATGTTTCCCCTTTGCGTTGTTAGCTTTGCCATACTTTGTTATCATCAATCTCCTTCAAATTGATGAAAAACATTTGTTACAGTTGGTTTCCATCGCTACATTCTCCAAAATTTCAGCGGAGCGTCCCTAGAAGGGGTGAAAGAACAGGAAGTGAAAGAATTCGATCCTCCTTCAGAGGTAAGTTACCCTTCCGAAAGGCCCGTTCTACCTGTTTCTCCTGCAGCCTCTACCGAAACTGACATCCTCTTTGTTCGAAACAACCCTAAATTTCAGATTAGAGCAATCGTCGAGGGCCAGTTCCTGTCAATGAGAGGTCACGCTGAGAGGTTCGGGATGCCGGTACCTCCAAAGCGTATAATAGCCACAGGTGGTGCATCAACAAACCAAAGCCTGTTGAAGTCGATGGCATCCGTATTTGGCTGTGGAGTCTACACTGTCCAAAGACCTGGTATGCAATTTTTAATCAGCATTTACTTTCCTTCTTCAAGCACAAGCAACTGCCATTGGATACAGAAGGGGCATATAAATGTAACTAGTTTTTTTCCTGCGTGGTTACAGATTCTGCTTCTCTAGGAGCTGCGCTGAGAGCTGCACATGGCTGGATCTGTAATAAGCAGCGCAGTTTTGTGCCGATAGCAAACCTGTACAGCGACAAATTGGAGAAATCGTCATTGAGCTGCAAGCTGTCGGCTAGTCCTGGAAGCAATGAGGTGGCGTCAAAGTATGGTGTGCTGATGAAGAAGAGAATGGAGATCGAGAAGCGGCTGGTGGAGAAGTTGGGACGCTACTAATTCTTGGACCAGAGATCATGTTTTCCTAGGCTCTTAGTACATAGGTTTCGTCGTCACTCTTTTGTAGTAAGGATTCTTTTTAAATGTAGCTTTGTGAGGAAGTTGGTACTCATCAAGAGACTTTTTTCTCACCATGAAAGTCGGGAGACACTCAACAAGGGGTGTGGTTGGAATGAGAGAAGGGATGCCTATTTATAGTGTTGGCAATCACTCTTTGCGAGAAAGAGAATGATTGCTTGTCCTTCAAGAAAGAAGTTGCTTGATCACCAAGGGAGAACAAGTTATTGGGAAGAAAGAGAAAAATAGAGCATTTAAAACGAAGCAAAGTCTCGATCTCAACTAGGGATGGCAATGGATCGGGTTGGGGCGGGTTTTGTCAAACCCAAACCCATGGGTTTATCCGCCAAAAAAACTCGGGGTAAAACCCGTCGGGTTTGAAAAACTCAAACCCAACCCAACCCGCTGGGTATCCACGGGTTCATGGGTACTCGTCCGTGGGTTTTTCTAGTAAAAAATTTACAATAACAAGTTTCTTTCAAAATAAAAGTTTAACATCAATTTTCTCATACAAAAAACATCAATCTAGAGCATACAAGCAAACCGCAAATGATCAATACAAATTGTTCAAAATTAAAGATAAACATCTATAAACAATAAGATTAATTGAAAGTTTCTTCCTCGTCAACTAAGTTTCTTCATTCTTCACTTAATAATATCAACTTCATTCTAAACAATTAGAATAAACAAATTATACATGTCTCCACAAACATAAAGAATATTAGTTGTTTAAGGAAAATATATTATTTATAATATTAAATATACCGGAAAAGTAATTATATGTGTGTGGGCGGGTACCCATGGGGCGGGTTTACCTAAACCCAAACCCAACCCGACCCGGTGAATAGTGTAGCGGGTTTAAACCCGAACCCGGCCCAAAACCCGTCAACACGGGTTTTACCCGCATTGACCGGATTGGGTCGGGTGGGTACCTGTGGGTTCGAGTTTTGTTGACATCCCTAATCTCAACCTCTATTTGATTCATTCAAGTTAATAACATTGTGTACCCCTCTATCATTGCAAATTAACAAACGTACATTTCTATTAATATTTGCACAAATAGACCGTTATAATAAAATTAACGTAACCAATCGGTCGAGTCTCCACCCTTTTGTCGGCCTCATCCCTAGACTTTGGCGGACCTTTGACGGGGGTACACACTGCTCTTCCTCGGCGACGGCTGGAGATTGGAGAAGTGGCAACTCTCTCTCTAGGGGAGCAGAGATAGTATCTTTCAATAACAAACTACTGCTACAATGGTAACAAACTAAATTAAAGAAATCAAAATAGGAAATAGACACGAATGATTGTACATTAAAAATGGGAAATAGCTAGGCGCGGCTTGGGATAGGGTGAGTAACCCTATGTTACTCACCCGTGAGTAACCACCTTAGGACCGTAGATCTGGGCCGGGCTGATCGTGTGGTTGTGGTTGATGCGGTGATGGTCAGGGGCAATTTTGTCCGAAATTTGAATTAACGACTTCCCCCTTTTGTCCGTTGCGGATCTTTTTCTGTGCGCGAGTTGGATTCGGATTTTGGAGAGAGAAACTGCGAGCAGCAGCTGAGAAACAGGGGACGGCGATTCTCCATAATTGATCGACGAGCAGCAGCTAATCGAATCGAGGTTTATGATTCTCCCTAATTGATCGACGTGTGCGCGAGTTGAATTCGGTTTTTGGAGAGAGAAAGCTGCGAGCAGCAGCTGAGAAACAGGTGACGGCGAATCTTTTCTGATTCTCCATAATTGATCGACGGCGATAGAAACTGCGAGCAGCAGCTAATCGAATCGAGCTTTCTGATTCTCCATAATTGATCGACGGCGAGGTTAGATATTAGTTTTTTTTATTCTTTCTGTTTAGCTAATTGAGTTTTCTGTTTATCTTTGGTTTCGTTGAGCGTTTTGACGATCTCTGGTTTCGTTGGAGGTTTTTCATTGCTGCTATTCGAGCTTGTTCATGTTTAGATAATCGAGCGTGTTTGAGTTTCTCTGGTTTCGTTGTAGGTTTTGTAGAATTTACTTTCTCTGAGTTTCTTTTGTGTGTTCTGTTTAGCTAATCGAGCTTGTTCATGTGTTATGTTCTTTGTGTTTTGGTTTTTTTGCAGTATTCTGGTGAGATGAGTTACGTAAATTGTGGCGATGTTGTTCCATTTGATAGATCTGGTTCTTCAACCAGCGTTGTAGGATCTGGTTCTTCATCTAGCATTGTTGGAACTGCTTCTTCATCTATCGATCTTGGATTTGGTCATTCAGCTAACTCTGGTGAATCAGGAGGTAAGATATACAAATTTGTTTGTTTATTGAAGTTTGAATGTGTTAGATACCATATGGTACCATGGTGGTAATTACTGGTATACGATGAGAGGTGATAATATAGTGTTGTGTTGTGATGTTATTGTGCTTGTATTTAAGTTTTACCATATCATACCATGGTGGTAATTACTTGTACCATGGTTGGAATCATCGGTATAGTGTCGTAATTTGATTTTACCATGCCTTACCATGTGGTATAGTGTGGTAGTTTCAAGTTAAAGGTGGGGTTATGTGTGATAATTGATTTTACCATGTCATACCATGTGGTAAAATATGGTAATTTGATTTTACCATGCCTTACCATGTGGTATAGTGTGGTAGTTTCAAGTTAAAGGAGGGGTTATGTGTGATAATTGATTTTACCATGTCATACCATGTGGTAAAATATGGTAATTTGATGTTATCATGTATAGTTTGTGGTATAGTGTGGGTTTTTGGGATTTTTGTTGCTGCTGTAAGTGATTTTACCATGTCATACCATGTGGTATAGTGTGGTAATTTGATTTTACCATGCCATACCATGTGGTATAGTGTGGTAATTTGGTTTTACCATGCTATACCATGTGGTATAGTGTGGTAATGTGATGAGATGTGATTCTGTTGTGGCATGAAATTCATTTTACCATATCATACCATGGTGGTATTATATTTGTACATATTTAATATGTTGCTTCATAATGTTTATAGGTTTCAATGGTATAGATCCTACTGTTCGTGATTCTTGGAAGGACTTACAGTTTAATACACCGGATGATGCATACAATTTCTATGTGGATTATGGGAATCATGAAGGTTTTGGTGTGAGGATTTATAATCAATCAGCGTGTCCGAAGCTCAATGGTGGTTCTTCAGCTGTATATTATATCAAGTATTGTTGCAATAAGGAAGGTTGGAGAAGAGGTAGCGAGAATAACCCTAATAATGCAGGTGTTGTTGATACGAATGTTCGTGTTCGTAATGTTCCAGAACTCAGGGGTGGATGTAATGGTGCTTATATACGACTGAGGTGGTTTAAAGAGTTTAAATGTTACAAGATCTATCGTTGGTATAATGTGCACAACCATGACATGATTCTTGAGTCTCTGCGTCACTATGTGAGATCCAGCAGACGAATGGCTCCTGTGTATAAGATGTTGGCAGAGGTGAATGATGCTGCTGGTATTGGTGTGACTTCTTCGTATAATGCAATTAGTAGGGCTGGTGGTGGTCGGAAGTTTGTTGGGTTCACAAAGAATGATTTGAAGAACCATCTGCGAACGGTGAGGACGTTATCAATGGAGTATGGTGATGCGACTGCATTGCTTGAATACTTTAGACGTCAAGCACAGCTGGATCCTGGGTTCTTTCATGAGGTGGAGGTTGATGTTGAAGAGAACATTGCTAGTATTTTTTGGGCAGATGGGAAGATGAGGATGGATTATCATTATTTTGGTGATTCAATTAGTTTTGATACTACTTACCGGACTAACAAAGAGTATCGGCCACTAGGTATGTTTTCTAGTTTGTTGTTTATTATTGTCTTTGTGAGTTTGTATGATTATTATTATTATCATTCTGTATCATGGTTATTTTGTTCTTAAAAGTCTGTACCATATGGTATGGGTTGGTATGGATTGCTTTTATGTTCTTAAAAGTATTTTACCATATGGTATGTGTTGGTAACAAGGTTATTTGAGGTGGTTTTTGCGTTGTTAGAAGTTTGTACTATATGGTATGGGCTGGTATGGATTGTGTTTTTGTTCTTAAAAGTCTTTTACCATATAGTATGGGTTGGTAACAAGGTTATTTGAGGTGGTTTTTGCGTTGTTAGAAGTCTGTACTATATGGTATGGTCTGGTATGGATTGTTTTTTTTGTTCTTAGAAGTCTTTACCATATGGTACGGGTTGGTATTATTGTTATTCGTACCTTTTACCACATGGTATGTGTTGGTAGAATTGTTTTTACTCACATTTTCTTATGTTTTTGTAGCTTTGTTTGTTGGTTTCAACAATCATCACCAACTGACTGTCTTTGCGGCTGCTCTTCTATATGATGAAACAACGGCAACATTTGAATGAATTTTCGATCAGTTTTTGAAATGCATGGGAGGTGTGAGACCGTTATCAATGTTTACTGACCAGGCTGCTGCAATTGCTGTTGGTATAAGGTCTGTTTTCCCATATTGTTTTCATGGGTTGTGTACATGGCATATTGCTCAGAATGCAGTTGTTAATCTGGGAAGTTTGTGTGACTCTGACTTCCTTCGTGAGCTTAGTTATTTGATGTATAATGCTGATGATGAGGATGATTTTGAGTATAATTGGAAGAAGATGATTGAGAGTGTTTTCCTGGGAAGGGACCTTTGGGACACAGTTGGTTACAGGGCATTTACAAAGTCAGGAAGAAGTGGTCTTCAGCCTGGGTGAATTGTTATTTTGGTGCAGGAATGAAGAGTACCCAGCTAAGTGAGTGCTGCAATAGTAATATTCGACATTACTTGCAGGCAGAGTTTAGCGTTAGTAGATTCTTTGTGCACTTTAAGAGGATGCTTGATAATAAGAGGGATGCTGAATAACAAGAAGAGTACTATGCCTTATCTAGGTTGGCTAATTCTCAGTTTTCTACTAGCCCTATTGTGAAGCAAGTTGCTAATGTGTATACGCCGAAGATATTCAAGTTTTTCCTCGATCAGTACAAGGAATCTCTTGCGTATAATATTTTTTCAATACAGAGATAGAACCAGAAGGACATGTAGGAATGTTTGATGTCTTCATATTGGAGGATGACCTTACTAGGTTGGATAGTAGGGTGTTGAAGGTTGATTTTGATAACGGTGAAATCAAGTGTTCCTGCCGTAAGTGGGAGTCAAGTGGTTTGACTGTAAGCATCAAATTAAGGGATATGATATGTTGTGGTCTACAACATGCAATGTGAAGTTCCAGCACATTCCTAGCAGTTTGATTTTGAAGCGGTGGACAAGAGCAGCAAAAACTAGAGGGAACTTTTCTTTTGAAGTTCCGTCTACTGATAGTCCATCGAAATACCGTTCTCGTCTTTTCAATCTGTCAGCTGTTTCTGCATCAATGATCAGCAGGGTTTCAATGGATGATGATTTGTATAAATCATCCATGGCCTTCATGACTGATTTGATCAAAATGTGTGAAGCCCTATCGATTAATGAACCTACTGGAACAAGCACGTCTTCTAA